GCTGGGCATGGTGTTTCATGCCTGTAATCTCACCTACTTTTGAGAGATACAGGATTACAGTTTACGGCCAGCCTACACAAAAATGTTATTGAGACCCCCATCTCAAAGAACAGGCCAGATGTGAAGATTCACTTTGTAATCTCAGCTACAACAGAAGCAGAGATAGGAAAAATCACTGTCTTGAGGCCAATCCAGAGCAGAATTGGGAGACCCTATCTGAAAAGCAATGAAAGAACAAAAAAGCTGGAGATGTGGCTCAAGTGTTGGGTGTTAGCAGCAAAAAAAAATCCTCTGTTTAAGAAAAAAAGAAAAATCTATCAACAGATGAATTAAAAAAAATAAACACAGCTAGTGCGGGGGCTCACGCCTGTAATCCTAGCTACTCAGGAGGCTGAGACCTGAGGATCTTAGTTCAAAGCCAGCCCAGGCAGGAAAGTCCAAGAGACTTTATCTCCAATTAACCACCAGAAAACTGGAAGTGGCGCTGTGGCTCAAGTAGTAGAGCACTAGCCTTGCACTGAAGAGCTGCAGGACAGTGCCCAGGCCCAGAGTTCAATCCCCAAGACAGACAAAAAAACAAACAGAGGAGTAGAATAGTCAAGAACTAAAACCACTAAAACCACTGTCTGCTGGTTTATGCAGGAGTCTAGATGAATCCTGGTCCCGAAAACCTGCTTAGATAAGATAGACCCCAGAGAACCTATCCCCTTCAATTTTATGATAGATCAGAGGAGTGGTTCCCTAGAAGAGAGGAAAGGAATGGAGGAAACTCTTCCTGGATGATGGCAATGTTCTACATCGAGAGTGGATGACAGTTACACAGCTGTTTACATTGATCAAAACTCATCTAAATGTCCACTTAAAAAATCAATGGCATACTCCTGTAATCCTAGATACTCAGGAGGCTGAGATCTAAGGATCCAGTTCAAAGCCAGCCCAGGCAGGAAAGTCTGTGATACTCATCTCCAATTAACCACCAGAAAACCACAAGTGACACTGTGGCTCAAGTGGTAGAGCACTTGCCTTAAGCTGAAGAGTTCAGGGACAGCACTCAGGCCCAGAATTGAAGCCCCACAGACCAACAAGACAAAAACAACAACAACAACAACAAACCAACAAAAAACAAAACAAAAAACTCCTATAAGCTGGGCACTGGTGGCTCACACTAGCTACTCAGGAGGCTAAGATCTGAGGACCGCAGTTCAAAGCCAGCCCAGCCAGGAAAGTCCCCCTGAGACTTTTATCTTCAATTAACTACTCAAAAAACTGGAAGTGTTCTCTAGCCATAAAAGAAATGCAAATCAAAACAACATTGAGATTTCACCTCACCCCAGTTAGAATGGCTATAAGCAAGAAATCTAATAACAACAGATGCTGGAGGGGATGTAACCAAAAGGGAACCCTACTGCATTGTTGGTAGGAGTATAAACTTGTTCGACCACTTTGGAAGGCAGTATAGAGGTTCCTCAAAAGACTACACATAGAGCTCTCCTATGACCCAACAATCACACTTTTGAGCATTTACCATTATGATCACAAACAAGGCCATACCAGCTACCAGCTACCAGCACAACTGTTTATTGTAGCATTATTCACCATAGTTAAGATATGGAACCAACCTAGATGTACCTCAGTAGATGAATGAGCAAGAAAATGTGGTATACACACACACACACACACACACACACACACAATGGAATTTTATGCCTCAGTCAGAAAGAATGACACCACCCCCATTTGTTAGGAAATGGAAAGACTTGGAAACAATATATTAAGTGAAGTAAGCCAGGCCCAAAGAAACATAGGTCCCATGGTTTTTCTTATTTGCAATAAATAGTATACATCTAGGACAAGCAGAAAAGATCAAAAGCCATGCACATATGACCATATAAGAAGATGCTAAGTGAAATGAACCGCAAGATAAGGACACAAGAAGTTTTATCTTTCTTGCTGATGTTGTTTTTAATGTACTTATAATGTCTATGTGATAATTTTTGTTTCTTTTTTATGTTCTTCCCCTATGGTATAACCCGTTTTCACTATATTTGATTCCTGTGCCCTGCATCTTGTATATACATTTTTCTAATTTGGAGAGGGGAAGGGAAACAACAAAATGCTGAAATAAGGAAACAGGTTGACCCATTGTTAACAATGAGATGCACAAGACACTATGTTGAAAACAAACTTTACAACTTGGGAGGGGGAGAAGGAGCTGGGGAGGTGGGAGGGAAGGGATGGTAGAGGAAAAACAAAGGAGGAGGTAACTGCTCAATAGGAACCATACTCATGACCTTAATCATGTAACTGTAACCCATCTTTACAGTATTTTTATAATAAAAAATATTAAACAAATAAACCGGCTGGGGCTGGGAAGGTGGTTCAATGGTAGAGCGCTTGCTTTGCATGCTTGAGGCCCTGGGTTCAATTCCTCAGCACCACATAAGCAAAAAGAAAAAAGCTGGAAGTGGTGCTGTGGCTCAAGTGTAAAGTGCTAGCCTTGAGCTAAAGAGCTGAGGGACAGCGCCCAGGCCCAGAGTTCAGGGCTCATAACTGGACCCAAAAAAAAGAAAGAAAAAGAAAAAGAAATAAACCAGAACTGGAGCTGGGGCTCAACTGGTAGAGTGCTAGCCTAGAGCACAAAGAGGCTCAGGGACAGCGCCCAGGGGCTGAGTTCAAGCCCCACAACTGACAACAAAACAAAAAAACTCTTATGTTTTACCTAAACAAAAATTGTGTGAAAGAAAAACAAAAGGTAGTCAAGGTTGAAAACACTACATAAAACCAGGAGGCATTTTGTGTGGTAAGCCTTTTTTTTTTTTTTCCGGTCGTGGGGCTTGAACTCTGGGCTTGGGCGCTCTTCCTGCTCTCTTCAGCTCAAGGTGAGCACTTTACCGCTTTAGCCACAGCGCCACTTCCGGTTTTCTGGTGGTTTATTGGAGATAAGAGTCTCAGGGACTTTCCTGCCCGGGCTGGCTTTGAACCTCAATCCTCAGATCTCAGCCTCCTGAGTAGCTAGGATTACAAGTGTGAACCACCGGTGTCCGGGTTAAGCCTTTTTTTTGAACCGTGAAACGTAGCATAGTGGCTGAGGCCAGTAATTACAGCTACTAAGGAGGCAGACATCAAGAGGATTATGGAGGTCATAGGACAGAGGAGCAAGAAGACATCTAAATCAATAAGCCGCCAGGAAGAGAAGCTTAGATAGGAGAGTTGAGAGCTAAGGCCCACCTCAGACCAAAAATACAAAAACAAAAACAAAAACCCTAAAACCAAAAAACCCCCAAAAAACCAACCAACTCATGAATTTCAGCAATAGTCTGCCTAGCAAAGCCAAGTCTCAGAGTCCAAAGCCACTTGATCAAAATAAGAAAAAGGAGTTAGGGGCTGGGGGTTTAGCTCAGGGGAAGGGCGCCCGCCTGGCGCGCCCAAGGCCCTGGGTTCGGTTCTCAGCCCTGGGGGAAAAAAAAAGAAAGAAAAAGGAGTTAAAGAGTTAAAAACAATGCTGGTCGTTGGTGGCTCACGCCTGTAATCCTGACTACTCAAGAGGCTGAGATTTGAGGATTAGGGTTCAAAGCCAGCCCAAGAAGGAAAGTCTGTTAGACTCTTATCTCCAATAAACCACCAGAAAACCAGAAGTGACAGTCAGACAAGTTGATGTAGGTGAAATGAACCCTAAGATAAGGATTCAACTGTTTTTTTCTTTCTTTCGATTGTTTCTAACATATTTATAAGATTATTTCTTTGTTGCTTTGTATGTCCCTCCCCCGTGGTATAACTCCTGCTTTCACTGTATTTGATGTTGGTATAATTTGTGGAGGGGCAGGGAAAAAAAAATTGTTTAAATAGGGATACAGGTGACCCATTGCAACAATGAGATGTACAAGACATTATGTGGAAAACGAACTTTACAGCTTGGGGAGGGGGGCAGAGATGGGAAGAGGAAATAAAGGAGGAGGTAACAATGCTAGATAAGAAATGTACTCATTACCTTACCCATGTTATTGTAACCCCTCTGTACAGTATTTTCACAATAATAAATAAATAAATAAACCAGAAGTGGTGCTGTGGCTCAAGTGGTAGAGCACTTGCCTTGAGCTGAAGAGCTGAGGGACAGCGCCCAGGACCAGAGTTCAAGTCCTATGACCGACAAAAAAAGAAAAAAGAAAAAAAAAAGAAAAAGAAAGCAAAACAATAAATGCTGCTGGATTTCCATGCCCAAACTGGACGTTAAAAAGCCTTGAGAGGGATTGGGAATGTGGCTTAGTGGTAGAGTGCTTGCCTAGCATGCATGAAACCCTGGGTTTGATTCATCAATACCACATAAACAGAAAAAGCCAGAAGTAGCACTGTGGCTCAAGTGCTAGCCTGGAGCAAAAGAAGCCCAGGGATAGTGCCCAGGCCGAGTTCAAGTCCCAGGACTGTCTCCTACCCCCCAAAAAGCCCTGCGAGCCTGGCGCCAATGGCTCACACGTATGAATCCTAACTACTCAGGCTGAGGGCTGAAGATCGCAGTTCAAAGCCAGCCTAGTCAGAAAAGGCTGTGAGCTTCTTAACGCTAATTACCTATCAAAAGGCCGGAAATGGAATTGTGGTTCAAGGAGTAGAATGCCAGCTTTGAGCACAATAGCTCAAGGACAGACTCCAGACCCTGAGTTCAAACCCCAGGACCCGTACAAAACAAACAAACAAAAATCCCTGCGAAGTGGATCCCAAAAGCGGATGAAGCTCCAGGGAGGCAGCGCAAGCGGACGTGAGACACAGTGCCGGGGTCTGGACCCAGCGGGCTGCCCAAGACAACTGCGCTCGGCGCTACCCTTCTTCCGTGGCGACCCCGCCTCTCTTCCCCGTCACACCCATCCTCTGAACTGTCGCGTGGCCTTTCAATCAATTCAAACATCGCGCCGAGGGAACCTATCGCATGTCTCGCCGAGAGGAAGGGGCGGGAGCTCCCCCCGGAAGTATTGGTTAAAGCCCCTCCAATCAGAGGCCCGGGCCGGAAGTTTGAATTTTGCGCGGTGTTGGCTGGTAGGCGTTTCTGCGTCGGAGCACACGGACTTTGTCCGGACCCCGAGGATTCTTCCACGGTTTATTTAGCTGAGGTTTCACCGAGCTGTGCGTCAGGTAAGCTGCGGTCGGGAGGTGGGGGGAGGACGCTGGCCCGCGCTGGGTGGGCGTCTAGCGGTGTGAGGACCGGGCTGCGAGCCGGTTCTACCTCAGGCCTCCGCGGGAGCGGGTCGCCCGCGGCCCGTGACCGCCAGCCCCCCCCCCCCCCCCCCCGGGGAAGTCGTCGCTCGGTGCCACGGTCTGATTTGGTTTGGGCTTTGCGAGGCCCGGTGCTCCCCGGGATGAGCCGTTTAGCATCCCCCCCCCCCCCCGCCCTCATTCTGTTCCAGCAGCTCCTCCCAGATCCGGTGAGTCCGGAGGACTCTGACGGACCCTCCCAGACAATCAGCCAAAGAAGACGTGTGTGTGTGTGTGTGTGAACACAGTCAGGATGCCTGGGCTGGGATCCACCTTGCACCCGTGCTGATGCAGGCAGTTAATGGACCTCTAACTGTATACTACATACGAACTATCCTTTATGGCTATTGTGATCATTAAAAACACATTTACTATTTGATCAAGCCTAGCCCTAGTCCCTCAGGGGACTGACAGCTGAGGATCACGGTTCGAAGCCAGCCCGGGCAGAAAAGTCCATGAGACTATCGCCAATAGAAAGCCAGAAGTGGAGCTGTGGCTCAAATGATTGAGCGCCAGCCTTGAACAACAACAATAACAACCTAAGAGACAGCGCACACACCCGCCCACCACGATATGTGTGTGTGTTTAATGTATATTATATGTGCATATATATGTATACATATATGTGATATGTATGCTCTTTTCCTCCCATTCGATGAGAGAGGAAAGTCCTTCATGAAATACATGTCCATTGCCACTTCTCCCCCAGCTTTTTAGGGAGATGGTATAGCATCCACATCAGATGGACCTTTTATTTTGTTAAGACAGTCTGCTAAGAAGCCCAGGCTGGCCTTGTGCTCTTGATCCGCCTTCAGGAATTGGAGTGCTAGGATACAGGCATGTGCCACCTCGCCCACTCCAATTTTTCCTTAGAGCTTTTTTGGTGGATTTTTCAAGTTCGTGTTGAAGAGTATAGTATGACTGAGACATTGTAAACTATTTGGTATTTGTCACTGAATTTTTGCCACACAATTCCTAAAATCCTAGACTCTTAAGTAATCCCTTCTATAAGCTAATGAATTAACTAACTCAGAGAGCTGGCTTCTAGGTGGGAGTTGTTCACTGGAAAGGTCAAAATTACTTTAGAGGGTCTTTCAACTCCAACCTTAGCCTCCTGAGAAAAAAGAAGTTGGAGACTGAGTTGATCAATTTTGGTCTAAAGATGACCATAATTTAATCAGTTATGACTGCTACTGCTCACTGCCCCCCCCCCCCCCAAAGGAAAAGGAAAAAGTTTAGAGAGCTTTCAGATAGAAACACATGGAGGTTTGCAGAGAGTTTTTCCGAATAGCGTTTGCAAGAAAGACTTGTGCTACTTCCCACATATCTTACCCTATGCATTTCTTCATCTATATCCTTTTTAATGTCCTCTCTAATAAACCAGAAGACATAAGGAGGAAAGCATTTCCCTGGGTTTGGAGGTCTTTAATAAATTAGTAAATTTAGTAAAAACCTGAGGAGGAGGGTTTGTAAGTAGCACAAGCAAACAACCTGCACCTTTGGGCCGGGTCAGTCTGATTGATGGAGTAAGCCCTTTACCTGTAGGATCTTGGGGCTTGGAAGGTGGATCAGTGGTAGAGTGCTTGCCTTGCATGCGTGAGGCCCTGGGTTTGATTCCTCAGCACCACATAAGCAAAAAGAAAAAAACCGGAAGTGGCGCTGTGGCTCAAGTGGTAGAGCGTTAGCTTTGGGCTGAGGGACAGCGCCCAGGCCCAGAATTCAGGCCTCACGACCGGACCCCCCCCCCCCAAAAAAAAAATACCTGTAGGATCTGATGCCAAGGTAGAATCAGAATTAGATTGAAATAGAAGCCATACAGCTGGTGTCTACTATAAAACTACTTGCTTGGCTCTTGGCACCAGGTGTTAAGAGTATAATGATAGAAGCTGTTTTTATTCCAACACAGTACCTATAACTTTTAACCTCCTAATCATAGCACCTGTATGACTTTCTTTCTTTCTTCCCTTCCCTTCCCTTCCCTTCCCTTCCCTCCCCTTCCCTTCCCTTCCCTTCCTTTCCCTTCCCTTCCCTTCCCTTCCCTCCCCTCCCCTCCCCTCCCCTCCCCTCCCCTCCCTTTCCCTCCCTTTCCCTTCCCTTCCCTTTCTTTCCTTTTTGTGCCTGTACTGGGGCTTGAACTCAGGGCCTAGGCACTGTCCTTTAGCTTTTTTTGCTCAAGGTTGAGGTCCACAGTTCTAATTCCAACTTTAGCAGTTAATTGGAGATGAGTCTATCACAGACTTTCCTTCCTTGGTTGGTTTCCTTCTTTTTCTTTTTTTTTTTTGGCCAGTCATGGGGTTGAACTTAGAGCCTGGGCACTGTCCCTGAGCTTCTTTGGTCAAGGCTAGTACTCTACCACTTGAACCACAGGGCCACTTCCAGCTTTTTTTGGGGGGGGGGGGGGTGGTCATGGGTCTTGAACTCTGGGCCTGGGTACTGTCCTTCAGCTCTTCAGCTCAAGGCTAGCCACAGCGCCACTTCCAATTTTCTGAGTGGTTTACTGGAGATAAGAATCTCATGGGCTTTCTTGCCCTAGCTGGCTTTGAATGGAGATCCTAAGATCTCAGCTTCTTGAGTAGCTAGGATTATAGGAGTGAGCCACCAGCGCCCGGCACTTCCAGCTTTTTCTGTGTATGTGGTACTGAGGAATTGAACTCAGGGCTTCATGCATATGAGGCAAACATTCTACCACTAAGCCACATTCCCTTGGTTGATTTCAAACCACAATCCTCAGATCTGTCTCCTGAGTTATCTAAGATTACTATACAGTATGAGCCATCATCACTTGGCTACCTGCAGGGTTTTTATTCTGGATAACAAGACCTGTTTCTCTACTTTGACTTAGTAGTCTGTTAGGCTCTTCAGATTTTTCTACTTTCCTTTATTCTCCTCAACTGGATATACTGTTAGACCTCATGACATTGTCTTTATTGTCCTTGTAAACTATGAGGCTTTTGCATGAGCAAAACTAATAGGGCATTTTGGTAAGCATATCTCTAAGGATTTCCTTGAAAACCTTTTTTTCAATCTTGTATATCCAACTACCTGTTTTTGTTTTATCCCTGCATGTCTAGTGTGTGTTTTGCTGGTTTGGATTTTTTTTAATTTTTATTTTTAGATACAGTTGTAGTCCAGGCTGACCTTGAATTTTGAATCCTCCTGCCTCAGGCTCAATGCTGGGATTATAGGTGTAGGCTTGTGCCACCTTGCTTAACCCACCATCTCTCCCTTTTTCCCCTCCCTACTTCCCTCCCTTCCTTCCTCTCTCCCTTTTATCCTTCCTTTCTCCCTTTCTTTCCCTTCCTCCCTCCCTCTCTCCCTCCCTCCCCCTCTCTCTTTCTTTCTTTCTTTCTTTCATTCTCTTTCTCTCTCTCTTCTCCTCTATCTTGCTTCCTCTTTCTCTCCCTTCTTTCTCTCTCTGTCTCTCATTCTTTTCTTTCTTGTTGGTCCTAGGACTTGAACCCAAGTCTTGGGTGCTGTCTTTGAGCTTTTATTTTTTTCCCCTCAAGGCTAGTGCTCAACCACAGCTCCCTTTTCAGTTCTTTTGGTGCTTAATTGGAGATAAGATCTCAGACTTTCTTGCCTGGTTTGGCTTTGAACCTCAATCCTTAGATCTCAGCCTCCATAAGAGCCACCAATGCCTGACAGCTGTTCCATTCTTTGGAATGAACAGAACTAATAGACTATTCATCACCAGAGGAAGGCTAAAGAAACTGTTCTATATACTATCCTTTACTTATTTTCACCATATCTTTCCCCAGTGTTCTCTATGATAATTTGAGTATGTTCTTGACTATGGTTTTCCTGGACTGCACCTCATCTATTAAATAAATTCCGATTTAGAACCCCGAACAGGTGGTTGAGTCTACCCTTTGATAACCTTTTTTTCATTCTCCATTGTCACATGTTTATTTTATGATACATTTTAATATTTTTATTTCAGTGGACTCTGAGGTGGGATATGAAATGCACTGGAATATGATAAAAACTGGAATCTTAGTTTTCTAAAAAAGATGAAAATCCATTTAAGTTGGTTTGTATTTCTCTTCCCTGTCAGGATGTCTTCATCACATTTTGCCATTCTTCACAGAAAGGATTTAAGTACTGATATGATTAGAACTAAAATTGCTCATAGAAAATCACTATCCCAGAAAGAAAACAGATATAAAGAATATGAACGAAATAGACACTTTGGTTTGAAGGATGTCAACATTCCAACCTTGGGAGGTAGAGTTCTTGTGAACATAGATGAGACTGCTCAAGACCTTATTCCAGAGACCAGTATCAAGACAAGTAAGTAATGATCTATTGTAATTTTAAATGTTTTAAAAGAATTGGTTTAAAGCCTGTGTCTTAAAAGAAAAAACTAACCAGAAGAATGGAGTTTGGAAATATCACTCTAAATAATTATGTTTTCTACAACTAAGTTGTTAACTTAATGTTAAGGCTGAACGTATCACTAGCTAGGTGAAAACTATTCACTTACCAAGTATATATACAGCAATTTGTTATCTAGATTGCCTATGAGGAACCTAGTACTTTCTAGAACTTGGGTAAATCTGGAGAAGGTAAATTGATAAGAAGCATAAAAATAGGCTGACCAAAGAAGCTGTGAAATACAAATACTTTGCCAATGGAAGTATGACTTAGACTGCAGAATTCATTTGGACATGCTTAGGGGTTTGCTCAAATGATTTGGGTCCATTCAGAAGAAAAGACCCAAATAAAGAAATAAGAACCAAAATAAGAGAAGAGAACCTGATGCTAATGATGTGTGCCTATAATCCTAGCTACTTGGGAGGCTCTTCTTTGTTACACAGGTCAGCCTTAATCAGTGTGAAAGAGAACAACAAAAGGGCATTTTTCAGAATGAGACTCATTAAAGGCCAGCATCCAGGCTTGGTAACTATACAAGTTAGTTGAAAAGTGAGATTAAAACATGCCAAAGTATATATAGCAAGCATCTAGTAAATATTTCTGCAAGTGAAGCGTAGAGGAAGAGACATTTTGAAAAGACTAGTGGTTCAAATATCTTCTGAACTTTTGGTTAGTATTGAAGAATTAGCAAAATTATTAGAATTATTTTGAAGTAGAACACAATAATTTTTTTATGTTTTCTGTACTTTTTTTTTTTTCCAGTCTTGGGGCTTGAACTTGGGGCCTCAGCACTGTCCCTGAGCTTCCCTTTACTCAAGACTGGCACTCTGCCTCTTGAGTCACAGTGTTACTTCTGGCTTTTTCTGTTTATGTGGTATTGAGGAATCGAACCCAGGGCTTCATGCATACTAGGCAAGCATTCTACCACTAAGCCACATTCCTAGCCCTGCTGTACTTTTTAATCTGAAATGTTTTATATACTGTGTTTGATTTTAATTTTTCCTGTTTAGGATCAATGAAAGCTATCCAAAGTGATGAACGAAGACAAATGCTCCAAAAGTACAAAGAAGAAAAACAACTTAAAAAACTGAAAGAACAAAGAGAAAAGGCTAAACAAGGAGTATTTAAAGTAGGTCTTTATAGACCTGATACTCCTTGTTTTCTTCTAACAAACCAGAATGCTCTGAAAGCTGAGGGGAAAAAGGTAACTTTGTGAATTTGTAATCTGAAATAAACTTGTTTTTTTAACTAGAATGTTCTTTATGAGATGAAGTGACTAACACCTTTCTTCTTAGTCCTTCGTTGATAGAAATTTAAATTAGCAGGTTTATTTATGCTATAAATTAGTAAAGATAAAATTTAGTTTTAAATTGGGAATTTCCTTCCTTTCTCTCTCTCTGTCTCTCTCTCTCTCACCTCTCTTTCTTTCTCTCTCTCTCTGTCTTTCTCTCTTGCTGGTCCTGGGGCTTGAACTCTAGTTGTGGGCTCTATCCATGAGCTTCTTTTGCTCAGGAGTAGCACTCTACCACTTGAGCCACAGTACCACTTCTGGCTTCTGAGTAGTTTACTGGAGATAAAGAGTCTTGCAGACTTTTCTGCCATGATTGGCTTCCAAATTCTATTCTCAGATCTCAGCCTTCTGACTAGTCAGCATTACAACACATAAGCCACCAGCATCTGGCTTGGGAATTTCGTTTCCTAATGAGACATTAAATAAACTTTTACCAGTTCATTTTGTTTAACTTGGTGTTCTTTTTTTTTTGGGGGGGGGGGGGGGTCCAGTCGTGGGGCCTAAACTCTGGGCCTGGGCGCTGTCCCTCAGCTCTTCAGCTCAAGGCTAGCGCTCTACCACTTGAGCCACAGCGCCACTTCTGGCTTTTTTCTTTTTGCTTATGTGGTGCTGAGGAATCAAACCCAGGGCCTCATGCATGCAAGGCAAGTGCTCTACCACTGAGCCACCTTCCCAGCCCTAACTTGGTGTTCTTATGTCTGTTTATAGGCTATTCCATCTAATGTCCGGATTACAAGATCAAAGGCCAAAGACCAAATGGGACAGACTAAGGTGTAGTTGATACTAAATGATTGTTACTAAAATGACAGATGTTCTGTGTTGCGTAGTTTATCCCTATAATCTCAGCTACTTAGGAGGAGGTCTGGAAGGTGATGTTTAAGCCAGCAGAGACCCCCAACAACAAACAAATTGGGTATGGTAGTAGTGCTAGTAATTCCAGCTACTAGGTGGGAGGATATAGGTCTTCAGCAACGAGAGCAAAGATGAGATGCCTTATCTGAAAAATAAAGTTCTTATTATTTTAGGGATTTTTTTGTACTGGGGTTTGAACTCAGGGCTTCATGATTGCTGGGCAGGTACTCTGCTGTGGCTTGAGCCATGCCTCTAGCTGGATGTAGATTTTTTTTTTTTTTTTTTGGATGTAGATTTTTATTTGGGCCATCAGTAAGAGCCTTTCCGAGATAGTAGTTTTTGGGGTTAAGTCTTTAACAAAGTGAATAAATGAACTATGAAGAAGAGTTCTATTTAGGATATAATTCAAAAGTTTTTTTTATATGTATGTGTATGTGCATATAAATGCATGTATGCCAGTACTGGGACTTAAACTCAGAGAGTTGCTCTATAGATTGGCTTTTTCCCTCACAGTTACTCATTAATAGGAGATGTCTCATAGACTTTTCTGTCCCAGCTGGCTTTGAACTTCAGTCCTCAGATTTTAGCCTCCTGAGTAGCTAGGATTACAAGTGTGAGCCATAGGATCCCTTAATATGCCTGAAGTTTTTTTTTTTTTGGGTCCGGTAGTGGGGCCTGAACTCTGGGCCTGGGCGCTGTCTCTTAGCTCTTCAGCTCAAGGCTAGCGCTCTACCACTTGAGCCACAGCGCCACTTCCGGCTTTTTTCTTTTTGCTTATGTGGTGCTAAGGAATCGAACCCAGGGCCTCGAGCATGCAAGGCAAGTGCTCTACCACTGAGCCACCTTCCCAGCCCCTATGCCTGAAGTTTTTAAGAACCAATAGAAAACTATAGTCACTTTTTTTTTTCTTTATAAAAAATGATGTTGCTGAGAGTTGAACTCTGTTCCTCTCATCCTGTCACTTGCCCCCAGCTGATGCTGTATCTACCATTTGAGCTATGGCTTTTCCTGGCCAGCTAAATTTTATGTGCTGGTCCTGAGGCTTGAACTTAAGGCCTAGGTGGTTGTCCTTGAGCTTTTTTGCTTAAGTCTAGTGCTCTTCCCTTGGAGTGACAGCTCTTCTGGCTTTTTGGTGATTAATTGGAGATAAGAGTCTCTTAGACTTTCTTGTCCTGACTGGCTTTGAACTGAGATTCTCAGATCTCAGCCTCCTGAGTAGCTAGGATTACAAGCTCCCAACTAGTCAGCTGTTTCTTTCTTTTGGTTTTGTTTTTTTTTGTTCGTTTGTTTTTCTGTCGGTCATAGGACTCATAGAGCACTGTCTGAGCTCTTTCACTCAAGGCTAGTGCTCAACAACCACAGTACCACTTCTGGCTTTCTAGTAGTTAATTGGAGATAAGAGTTTCACTAATTGGAGATAAGAGTTTCACGAACTTTCCTGCACAGGCTGGCTTTGAACCATGATCCTCAAATCTCAGCCTCTTGAATAGCTAGGATTACAGGCATGAGCCACCAGCGCCCGGGCTAGTCAGCTATTTTTATTAGGCATGGTGGCTAATGTCTATAATTCCAGCTACTAGAGTGACAGAAATGGGAGATTACTAGAGCTTATGAATTTGTGATTATTCTAGAGAGAGCAACATATTCAGCATAATTTTTGTCAAAAGAAAAGAAAGATCAGTATTTTGTAAATTCTAGGACTAAAAGAGATATAAGGAAATTTATATAAAACAGAAAACTTACCTTAGCTATGGTAAATAATGCTGCAATAAACAGAGTTGTGCTGGTAGCTTTAGTGTGGCCTTTGATGCCCCTCAGTAGATAAATGGATCAAGAAAATGTGGTATATATACACAATGTAATTCTATGCCTCCATCAGAAAGAATGACATTGCCCCATTTGTTAGGAAATGGAAAGACTTGGAAAAAATTATATTAAGTGAAGTAAGCCAGGCCCAAAGAAACTTAGGTCCCATGGTTTCCCTTATTTGCAATAACTAGTATATGTCTGAGTCAAGCAGAAAAGGTCAGATAAGTTGATGTTAGGGAAATGAACCCTAAGATATGTATTCAAATGTTTTTTTCTTTCAGGTGATTGTTTCTAACACATTCATAAGATTATTTATTTGTTGCTTTGTATGTCCCTCCCCCATGGTATAACCCCTGCTTTCATTGTATTTGATGTTGGTATAATTTGTGGAGGGGAAGGGAAAAACAAATCATTTAAATAGGGATACAGGTGGGTCCATTGCAACAATGAGATGTACAAATCGTTATGTGGAAAAACGAACTTTACGACTTTGGGGGTGGGGGGAGGAATGGGTGAGGGGAGGATGGAAAGGGGAAACAAAGAAGGAGGTTACAATGCTTGAAAAGAAATGTACTCATTATCTTACCCATCTTACCCATGTAATTATAATCCCTCTTAGAGTATTTTCACAATAAAAATAAAAATTTTAAATTAAAAAAAAAAACAAAACGGAAAACTTTTCATTTTGTTTGCATTAGCAGATTTGTTTTTTATTGAGGAATTTACAATGACCACGATTCAGTTTAGCTATCATTTTACAGTTTAAAATGTGATTTCAGTCATTATGTAGTTAAATCACGTAGTGCCTGATCTCTTAAACAGATTAGTAATGGAAGTGATGCTGTACCAATCCGACCTGGTCAGAGACAGAGTTCTGAAAAGATAGCGTTGGACAAACAGAAAAAAGGTAGGAGTGTTAGCAGTTATTATAACAAACTCTGAAGCTACTACAGTAATAGTTTATGAATAACCAACAGCACTTGATTATTTTTCATATAGTTGTACAGCCCACCGTGTCTGTGCCAATGAGAGTGACTCGATCAGCTACTCAGGTGACAAAGCAGATTGCCAAAACAGTCTCATCTACCATAACAAGAAAGCCTATCACAAGAGCTGCCAATGGTAAGAACCATTTCCTGATCTAGTGACTGAACTGGGGTGTTTGGGTCTTGGAGGTTTTTTAATATACTTTCACTTTTTGGTGTGGAACTGTGGATTGAAATAAGGGCTGTGTGGTTTGTTGGGCTAGTCCTTTACCACTTGAGCCATATGCATGTATGTCAGAATGTCAGTCGTGGGGCTTGAACTCAGGTCCTGGGCACTGTCCCTGAGCTTTCTCACTCAAGGATAGCACTGTGCCATTTTAAGGCACAGTGCTACTTCGGTTTTCTGGCAGTTAATTGGAGATAGGAATCTCATGGACTTTCCTGCCTGGACTGGCTTTGAGCCAATCCTCAAATCTCATCCTCCTAGGAAGGATTACAGGCATGAGCCACCAGCGCCTGGCCCTTTAGTTTTAGCATCAGTATGTGCTTTGTAGTAGGAAAGAAGGAAATTGGTGGGCTGGGAAGGTGGCACAGTTGTAGATGCTTGCCTTGCATGCACGAGGCCCTGGGTTTGATTCCTCAGTACCACATAAGCAGAAAAAAGCTGGAAATGACGCCATGGCTCAAGTGGTTGAGTGCCTTGAGCTGAAGAGCTGAGGGACAGCGCCCAGGCCCAGAGTTCAGGCCCCACGACCGGACCCCAAAAAAAAAAGAATTACAATCCTCAGATCTCAGCCTCCTAGGATTATAGGCATGAGCTACCAGTACCTGGCATACATCCTGTTTTTCAGAACCGTGAGACTACTGCCAGCATTTGATCTGCTTTTCATGGCCCACTGAGTCTATCATGAACAATGATACTAAGTTTTCTTTAACAACACTGTTCTTAGTGACTAAATGGATGAACTGGGATTTATTGGGCCTTTAATTTTTCACTTTGAAGCATTACTTGCCCTAGTGTAGGTGCTTCAACATTCCAGCACCCAGTGTGAAACTGAAAGTCAGAGCTCAGCACCTACCTTTAGGACTAGAAACTCTCAAGTCCTTCTTCTTTTGTTTGTTGGTTGTGGGGCCTGAACTCTGGGCCTTAGCTCTGTCCCTCAGCTCTTCAGCTAGCGAGCTACCACTTAAGCCATAGCACCACTTCTGGCTTTTTTTTTCTGCTTATGTGGTGCTGAGGAATAGAACCCAGGACCTCATGCATGCAAGGCAAGCGCTCTACCACTGAGCCACCTTCCCAGCCCCTGAGGATTCTAATTCAAAGCCAGTCTCAGCAGAAAAGTTTATGAGACTCACCTCCAATTAACCTCCAAAAAACCAGAAGAGGTTTATTTGTGAATATTTAGACATAGTTAAAAAATGGAAAATCAAATGTTGAACAGTCAGCTGAGTAATGGAATCTTGAGTGTTTTTTTTTTTTCCTTTCTAGAAGTTGTTGGTGCTTTTCTATTTTCCTAACTATAAAAGTGTATGGTATATAAAGGGAAACAATACAACTGAAACCTTTGTTTTTTTCAAAAACAGATGGCCTACTTAGATGTGAAATTTCATTTGTTCTTATCCATTTTCAGAATAAGATTTTTTTTTCATGGTCATGGGGCTTGAACTCAGGGCCTGGCATTGTCTCTGAGCTCTTGCTCAAGGCTAGCACTCTACCACCTTGAGCCACAGCTCTGCTTCCAGTTTTCTGGTAGAGATAAGAGTTTCACAGAATTTTCTGCCTAGGCTGGCTTTGAACCATGATCCTCAGATCTCAGTCTCCTGAATAGCTAGGATTACAGGCCTGAACCACTAGTGCTGGGCATGAGACTTTTTTTTTTTTTGGGGGGGGGGGGGGGTCCGGTTGTGGGGTATGAAATCTGGGCCTGGGCGCTGTCCCTCAGCTCTTCAGCTGTAGACTAGTGCTCTACCACTTGAGCCACAGTGCCACTTCTGGCTTTTTTCTCTTTGCTTATGTGGTGCTGAGGAATCGAACCCAGGGCCTCATGCATGCAAGGCAAGCGTTCTACCACTGAGCCACCTTCCCAGCCCAAGACTCTCTTTTTTTTTTTTTTTTTATTGATGGAATAACAAGGCTTTAATGGCTTTTTCTTATAGTGATATGAGCATATAAATCTTTTAAGGGATAACACTCTTAGTTGAGTAGGATAATCCAAAAAAGTAACAGTTCTGCCATATTGCAAAGGTAAATTCTTTTATTTGGCTTCCCATCCCCCACCCAGCAGCTTTCAGATTAGAATGGGAAGACATAGAAATCCATACTTTGTATCAGAAACAAGGAAGTTACTGCATAGTTTGCAGAAAATGAACTTTAAAATTTCACATTCCAAAATCGCATATGCCTATTAATAGGATCTTCAATTAACTTAATACTTGAGACCTTTGTTTGGGGTCCTCAAGAAGTATGGCTCAGAATTGAAGTCTGTCACTACAACAAGTGAAGTGATCTTGAGTCTGAAATAAGACCCATAGCTCATGGCCCAGCCAAAGAGCAGCATTTTCTGTCCAGTTGAAATGGACTTTTTTTGGGGGGGGGGCAGTCCTGGGGCTTTAACTCAGGGCCTGGGAACTAACTGTCCCTGAGCTGCTTTTGCTCAAGGTTAACACTCTACTACTTGAGCCACAGTGCCACTTACGGCTTTTTCTGTTTATGTGGTACTGAGGAATCGAACCCAGGGCTTTTTTATGAATACCAGGCAAGCATTCTACCCCTAAGCCACATTCCCAGCTCCATGAAATAAGTATCTTATTTCATTTTTATTTTAGTTAATGAACCAGAAAGAAAGGCACCAAATAAAGGGAGACCTGCCAGAAAGATAGAAACAAAACCTGACAAGGTAAGAGTACAAACATCTGTTTATTTTTAGGTCCTTTGAAGTCTCATTACTACTTTCATACAGAACTACTTAAAGTTAACCCACATGTGTACTAAACGTCATTGAACCATAAGTATCATGAGGATTTGTTGTTAACGTTTTTTTTCAGGTGTCTTTCAGGTTTTTTTGTTTTTGTTTTTTGGGGTTTTTTTGTTGGTCATGGGGCTTGAACTTTAAGCCTGAGTGCTGTCCCTGAGCTCTTCAGCTTAAGGATAGCACTCTACCACTTGAGCCACAGTGCCACTTACAGTTTTCTGGTGGTTTATTGGAGATAAAAGTCTCATGGACTTTCCTGCCTGGGCTGGCTTTGAACTGAGATCCTCAGATCTCAGCCTCCTGAGTAGCTAAGATTACAGGTGTGAGCTAATGGCACTCAGCTTCTTTCAGGGTTTTATAGGTAGAGAAAATATAAATTGTGTAAACAAAAGGATTGAGAAAAATTGCTAGGCATCAGTGGCTCATGCCTGTAATCCTAACTTCTCAGGAGTCTGGGAGGCTCAAATCTGAGGATCATGGTTCAAAGCCAGCCTGGGCAGGAAAGTCTGTGAGACTCTTATCTCCAATAAACCACCAGAAAACCAGAAGTGGCACTGTGGCTCAAATGGTAGAGTGCTAGCCTTGAGCTGAAGAGTTTAGGGATAGCACCCAGGCCCAGAGTTCAAGCCCTGTGACTGACAAAAGAAAAAAATATTGAGAAAAATAATAAAAACATGGCTGAGGGCAAAGCCATTTGGTGAGAAATAGCTAGGATGGAGTAGGGTGAAATTTTATCTGGGTTCAGGTAAATCTGGATTAGAATATTGTCTCTGCTCCCAGTTAGCTGCTTAACTTTGGGCAAGTTACAGTTATGGGGGTGTTTTTGTTTATTTGGTTGGTTGGTTTGCTTTCTCATCTTCAATATAGAACACCTGCAAATAGCTAATGTTTCTGACAACATCTAGAAAAGCATTTAATAAATTCCTTGAAAGAGTCACTATATATTTAAAGAAATGCTGAGCCGGGTGCTGGTGACTCACTCCTGTAATCATAGCAACTCAGGAGGCTGAGATCTCAGGACTGCAGTTCAGCTGCAGTTCAAAGCCAGTTGGGGTAGAAAAATTTGTGAGACTTTTATCACCAGAAAACCACCAGCACTATGGCTTAAAGTAGTAGAGTGCTAGCCTTGAGAAAAACCTCAGGAACAGCACCAAAGGGGAAAAAAAAGATATATCATGTAAAGTAAGAAACCTGCTAAGATTCTTACTAAAAACCTAATATAGCTCCTCTAAGGAAGGCAGGTTATTTGAGTTTTTATTGGGAGGGTAGGGAGTGGGGTTTGTGTGTGCATGTACACACCAGTACTAGAGCTTGAACTCAGGCCTTCACTTGCTAGCTTGGCTGGGCCTGTACCACTTGATCCATGCCTCCAGCTGACTTTATTGCTGGTTATTTTGGAGTTTCACTGACTTTTCCATCTTGGTTGGTTTCAAACAGATTTTTTTTTCTGGGTCTCAGCCTTGTGACTAGCTAGAATTAAATATATGAGGCTCAGACACTTGGCCTCTCCATGTAATTTAAGTAAAACATAGTTTGTGAATTTGCCTCATCTCCTACTTCTTTCTCTCTTCTTTTTTTTTTATATACCAGCTCTTGAACTCAGAGCCTACGTACTTTCCCTGAGACTTTTTGCTCAGGAGTAGTGCTCCACTGCTTGTGCCATAGCTCCAGTTTGGGCTCTTAGATGATTAATTGGAGATAGAGTTTCCTTCCTGGGTTGGCTTTGAATCATGATCCATATCTTAGCTTCCTGGATAGCTAGGATTATAGGCAGTTTCTCTACCATTGCTATACCTCCTAAGATCAAGTTTTGGTCATTTTTTTTCTTTAGTCTTTAGTTTTATTTAATTGTTGTTGTTGTTGTTGTCATCATTGTCGTTGTTGTCCTGGGGATTGAAACCAGGACATGCTAGGCAAGCAGCCTTCCATTTAAGCCACATCTGTCAGCCAAGGTATGTTTGTTAGCTGAGTAAATGTTTTCATGTATTTTTGTTTGTTTTAAGGTGTAATTTATTCCTTTGACAAGGATTGAATCTTTTTCTAGATTAGCAGTGGTTTAATAGCTTGCCCTCTTGATTACATGCATAATTTAATTGTATTTGGTTTTTATTTCTCAAATTATGTAGTTGGAAGGTGCAGCTGAATTTGTCACACTTTTGAGCATATGAAAAAAATGGCTGAGCTAGGCATGATATAATTCCAGCACTAGAGAGGTTAAGGCAGGAGAATTGTGAGTTTTAGGCCAGCCTGTAGTGCATTCAAGGTGAACCAGGGCTACATTGTGAGATCCTGGCAAAATTAAATACATCCCTAAACAGAAATTCTTACTCTATTCTGTTTACTTATTTCTAGGTTGTTTCTTTTAAACTTGATAGTGAAGAAAATACTTCAGATTCACAAATCAGTGCAACAAATGTAGTGGATCCAGATGGAGGCTTACCAGAAATGGAAAACTTACCTAAGACAGATGGAGTATTACCAGAAATGGAAAATTTGCCTAAGACATATCCAGCAAAAACAAGAGGAAAGAATTCCTTTGCACCTCAGGATTTTGTGTTTCAGCCTCTACATGGTCTGAAGACCTATCAAGTAACTCCCTTGACTCCCAGAAGTGCCAGTGCTTTCTTGACACCTAGTTACACCTGGGACCCTTTAAAACCAGAAGGGTAAGAATATGATCTTGAAAAGCCACCACACATAATCCCTCTTACCTGTATAAGAGAGGGGACAACAAATGCTTTTCTTTCTTTCTTTCTTCCTTTCTTTCTTTCTTTCTTTCTTCCTCCCTCCCTCCCTCCCTCACTCCCTCCTTCCCTCCCTCCCTCCCTTTCTTTCTTTCTTTCTTTCTTTCTTTCTTTCTTTCTTTCTTTCTTTCTTTCTTTCTTTCCTTCTTTCCTTCTTTCTTCCTTTCTTTCTTGCCAGTCCTGGGGCTTGAACGTGGGGTCTGGACCCTGTCCCTGGGCCTCTTTTTCTCAGGGTTAGCATTCTAACTTGAGCCACAGTGCCACTTCTGTTTATGAGGTATTGAGGAATCGAACCCAGAGCTAGGCAAGTACTCTACCATTAAGCTGCATTTCCAGCCCTGTTTGTTTTTTCTTCCAGCATTGCTGGGGATTGAGCCAAGGGTCTTGCACATGTAGGTAAACAGCCTACGACTAAGTGTTCCTCCATAACCCCAAAGTTGTAATTTTTTAGAAGACATAATGCTCAAATAGGGCTTTTATTTATCTTTGTTTTTCTTTTTGAGAATTATTTTTGTGCTAGTCTGGGGGCTTGAACTCAGGGCCTGGGTACTGTTCCTGAGCTTTTTTGCTCAAGGCTAGCATTCTACCACTTGAACCACAGCTCCAATTCTAGCTTTTGGGGGATTAATTGGAAATAGTCTCACAGACTTTCCTTTCTGGGCTACTTCAAACCATGATCCTCAGATTTTATCCTCTGAGTAGAATTATAGGCATGAGTACCAGTGCCTAGCCTGTGAGGTTATTCTTTTGTTTTTTGTTTTCCAACACACATCTAGCAACAAAAAATTACGTGCAAGGTGTGTAAGAGTCAGAAGACAGGGTAACTTTGCAAAGATTAGGACTTGTTGGAAGCAAATACAGTAGAAACTACTCAATATCATCTAAGAGTGCTAGTGCTATGTTCCATTAAGAGATTTTGGAATTTTGGGGCTGGGAAGGTGACTCAGTGGTAGAGCGCTTGCCTTGCATGCATGAGGCCCTGGGTTCGATTCCTCAGCACCACATAAGAAAAAAGCCGGGGAAGTGGCGCTGTAGCTCAAGTGGTAGAGCGCTTGCCTTGAGCTGAAGAGCTGAGGGACAGCGCCCAGGCCCAGAGTTCAAGCCCCACGACCGACAAAAAAAAAAAAGAAAAAGAAAAAAGCCGGAAGTGGCGCTGTGGCTCAAGTGGTAGAGCGCTAGCCTTGAGCTGAAGAGCTGAGGGACAGCGCCCAGGCCCAGAGTTCAGGCCCCACAACCGGACCCAAAAAAAAAAGAGATTTTGGAATTTCAAAACAGTAAATGTTGATGGCCAATTGGTTTTTTAGATTATTACCTTGCAAAATAAAACAGAGAGAGAAGGAAGGAAAGGAAAGAAGGAAAAGAAAGGAAGGAACGAAGGGGAAAGGAAGGGAAGGAAGGAAGATAGGGGAGGAAAGGAACAGAAAGAAGGAAGGAAAAGAGAAGGAAGAAAGAAAGACATGATAGCTTATGCTCAAAATTTTCAGTATTTGGGAGAGGCAAGAAGATTGGGAGTTCAAGGCCAGCCTGGGCTACATAGTAAGAACCTTTCTCAGAAACACCAAAACAAACAAATAAAACTGGAAACATTTGTTTTATCTTAGATTTTTTAATTCTCCCAGATATGTGGAGTGCATGTTTAATGAAATGCATTTTTGCTATTGTATTTAGTGATAAGACTCAAGCAAGAGAAGAAATCTTGGCCCAACAATGTATCACTTACTCTACCAAGACAGTACAGCAAGATTTGAAGAAATTGCAATATCCTTTGAGTTCTCTACCTGTTAGTGAAGAAGGTACAGTACTTTAATTCAGTTTTTATATGATTTATTTTCCTGGATTATGGAGCTCTTTTTGGCCATAAAGTTCAGAGGTGGACAAAGTTGGAATAAGGAATATAGACAGAGAAGGAAGATATAAATGTAAATTTGAGGATAGAAAAACAAGTGAGAAACTCTTGGAGAAATAGACAATGAAACGATTCAGGCAAAACAAAAATTCAGGTTAAACATTAAAGAATATTGAAGGATTTTTAAAACATTTTTGTGAGGGATGGCATCTTAGGGAATTGCTTTGAAATTTATATGTAATGGTTTCTTTAATTTGTAGAACATGGCGTAAGTAAGAAGGAAGCTACTACTAAAAACTCAAATTGCCTTCCGATAAAAGAAGCCCCATCACTTGAAATAAATGGAGGTCAGCTATCTCAGCCACAGCACGACGTGCCATATTTCAGGTTTGTCTGCTTGTTCCTAGCAGAAAATTTTTGCATCCGTGTATAGACATTGAACATGCTTAATTTTATGTGCAAATAGTTAAAATAGTAAATTGGGGGAAACTTACTCTGGATGGTTCTCACTTAACTTTTTTTAAAAACTTTATTGTCAAGGTGATTTACAGAGGGGTTACAGTTACATAAGTAAGGTAGTAAGTATATTTCTTGTCGAACTTGTTAACCCTCTCCCTCATTTTTCTCCCACTTTCCTTCCCTCCCTCAACAAGTAGTACAGATCATTTCCAACATATTTTCTTGTATTGCTGTTGCATTGGTTCCCCCTTGTCTTTTGTCTCACCATTTTGTTGTTCCCCTTCCCTTCCCTAATTCAGATAAACGTGTATACAGTACCCAGAGTACCAAAATCAAATACAGTAATAACAGGGGATTAAACCATAGGGGGGAAAAACACAAAAGAAAAAAGAAATCACATAGTACATTTAAAACAACAACAAAAACCGTTTGTGTCCATGTCTTGGAGTTTATTTTGCTTGGCATCATCTTATATGGTCATATGTACATAACTATTGAGCTATAGTACTCATCTGCTAGGATCCTAGACATATACTAATTATTACACTTATTAAATTATTAAATTTTAATTTTTCTAGTAACTAATACGTTCTGTGTGGTTTCTTACCCAAAGGATAGGAAAATATGTAACAAATCTCATTAGAAACCTGAACCAAGATGTTTAAGGGGGAGAGGCAGGGCTTATGGAGGCAGGTGGAGCTGAATGAAAAAGGGAGCAGGGGCCAAGTACAACCAGAATATTTAATGTACATATGTGAGGAAGGAAGTGGAAGTTGGAAATGTGAAATGAGTCTAGGAGGAAGCATGAAGTGGGATGGTGAGAAGGATAGAAGGGGTCACTGTGAAGAACACTGATACTTAGATGCACAGGTTAAATTGTAATCCCCTTGCATAATCTTTTGCAGTTCAAAGAAAAATATCCTTCCCAATGTACTGTCCCAACCCCATAGATTGAGCCTTCCATAGAAGTCAGAATTAATCATTTCTTGTGAATTTTTTCAGAATAATGCATATATAGATAAATATAACATTTTTCTTTTCTAAAAATATTAACCCATTGTGTAATGTATACTATTGTATTCTGATTTCATATTCAAGTAGGTAAGAAATACTATCTCACCATAGTTACTTCATTTGGGTAATTTTTGGCTGTTTTAGTTTTGTTTGTGCCAGTACTGAGGCTTGAACTAAGTGCCTGGGTGCTGTCCCTTAAGCTTTTTTGCTGCCACTCTGCCTCTTAAGCTATATTTCCACTTGCACCTTTTTGCTGTAAAGGTCTTAGGCCCTTTCTGTTCAATGTGGCTTCAAATCTTGTTCCTCATTTCTCAGTGTCCTGATTAGTTAGTATTACAGATGTGAGCCACCAACGCCTAGCTACTCATTCATTTTATTATGAGTATTTTATATGCTTGAGAACCAATTCAGCTCTTTCTTTCTTTCTTTCTTTCTTTCTTTCTTTCTTTCTTTCTTTCTTTCTTTCTTTCTTTCTTTCTTCCTTTCTTTCTTTCTTTCTTTCTTTCTTTCTTTCTTTCTTTCTTTCTTTCTTTGTCTTGGGGCTTGAACTCTGGGTCTGGGCACTGTCACTGAGCTCTTCAGAAGAGCTCAAGACTAGTGCTTTACCTCTAGAGCCACAGAGTCACTTCCAGTTTTCTGGTGTTTAATTGGAAATAAGAGTACCATGGACTTTCCTGCCCGAGCTGGCTTTAAACCACAATCCTCAGATCTCAGCCTCCTGAGAAGCTAGGATTACAGGCATGAGCCACCAGTGTGCCCAGCTTAATTTAGCTCTTCCTAGAGCATAAAATTTTCAAAGTACAAAGGATTTTAGAGATTATCTAGTCTGTTAATGTTATACAACTGAATCACTGAAGTAGTAAGCAACTGAACCAACTATGTAGTACCAGAGCTAATCATTACATATTTTGCCACTGAATATAAGCAACAAAATTTTTCTTTTAAGCTCAGAAACAACTATCTTCAATTTTTCCCTCTGTGAAGCTGATGGAAGAGGTGGAAAGAGTCCCTCTTTTTCTTTTTTATCTTAAGTTTGGAGAGATAATTTTTTTCTCTTATTTTTTTGCAGCAGGATCTCAAAAGAAACGGGTCCCCTGTCTCAGCTCATTGAGTGCTGAGATTATACACTTGTGCCTAGTATTTATCTTTTTGTGACTAGCTTTGATTTTATACGTCATATACTCAAATTTTATCTGTGTTTAAGAATTTCCCTTTTTTAAGTGAGTAGCACTCATTCCCCTCTCAGGGACACTCGGGGTGCTTCTATGTTTTTGCCTCATAAACACCTGAGGCTCTGCTTTCTGTTCTTTGGGGGGCATACACTTAGAAGTGAAATTGCTAATTCAGATTGTAATTCTACTTCTTTTGAGCAACTGCTATACAGTTTTCCATAGCAGCTGTGTTGTTTTACCTCCCATATGTGCTGAGATGCTTTTTGTGTAAAAACAGATTCAACTTTCCTCAGACATAGGTTTCTCAACCTTACCATTATTGACATTTTAGAATTACGTGCTTGTTGTGGGGATTTCATAGCATGCCAAGTTAGTAATAATGATTTAAAAAAAAAAAAAAAGCCTGCAGGCATCATCAAATGTGCCTGACTCCAGGTAAGAACCATTGCCTAATAACCAGAGAGATAGATCCTGTCAGCCCTGTCACTTAACTCCCATTTAGCGTAGGTACTTGGGTAGCCTTGTTCCATAGGAAATATCAGAGAATCCAATACATACTAAAGAATATTTGACTCCAAAATTTTATTTGTTTTTTTTTTGTTTTTTGGGTCTGGTCGTGGGGCCTGAACTCTGGGCCTGGGCGCTGTCCCTCAGCTCTTCAGTTCAAGGCTAGCACTCTACCACTTGAGCCACAGCACCACTTCTGGCTTTTTTCTTCTTGCTTATGTGGTGCTGAGGAATCGAACCCAGGGCCTCATGCATGCAAGGCAAGCGCTCTACCACTGAGCCACACTCCCAGCCCCTGACTCCAAAATTTTAGAAAAATAAGAAAACAAAAATGGAGCTGTAGCTCACCTGGTAAAGTGCCAGCCAGTGGAAAAGCCAAGTGAGAGCGCTAGTCCCTGAGTTCAAGCCCTTAGTACTGGCACCAAAAACAAAAACAAACAAGAGAACAAGCTAGCAGTGTTAGCTTAAAAGATAGACTTTTGATCCGGGCACCGGTGGCTCATGCCTATAATCCTAGCTACTCAGGACGCTGAGATCTGAGGATCATGGTTCAAAGTCATCCTGGGCAGGAAAGTCCATGAGATTCTTATCTCCAATAAACCACTAAAAAACTGGAAGTGGCACTGTGGCTCAAGTGGTAGAGCGCTCACCTTGAGCTGAAGAGCTGAGGGATAGTGCCCAAGCCCAGAGTTCAAGCCCCATGACTGATCAAAAAAAAAACCACAAAAAAAACAAAACAGTAGACTTTGAGCCAGGTGCAGGTGGCTCACACCTGTAATCCTAGGATGAAGTCAAGTGGATCTCCTGCCCACCCTCAGCAGTCCTGAGGCTTTAACTCAGGGCCTAGGTGCTGTTCCTGAGCTTTTTGTTCAATGCTAGTGCTCTACCACTTGAACCACAGTGCCACTCTCAGCTTTTTCTGAATAGTTTATTGGAAATAAGAGTTTTATGGACTTTCCTGTCCTGGCTGGTTTTGTACCGTCATCCTCAGTTCTCAGCCTCCTGAGTAACTAGGATTATAGGTGTAAGCCAACAGAGCCTGGCTATCAAGTGGATTCTTTTTTTTGGGGGGGGGGGGGGGAGGGTCCGGTTGTGGGGCCTGAACTCTGGGCCTGGGCACTGTCCCTCAGCTCTTCAGCTCAAGGCTAGCGCTCTACCACTTGAGCCACAGCGCCACTTCCGGGTTTTTTCTTTTTGCTTATGTGGTGCTGAGGGATCGAACCCAGGGCTTCAGGCATGCAAGGCAAGCGCTCTACCACTGAGCCACCTTCCCAGCCCTCAAGTGGATTCTTGTAAGTTGTAGGTGTAGAATGACAGACACACACAAAATATTGACTTACATTTATGAATTTGAATATAAAAATGTATGGATTTTACTTACAGAATAAGCTGAACTCTTGAAAAATGTATATTGTTCCTGTTTTCTATTTTCCTAATATTAGATATCATAATATAATGCTAATACCAGTACTAGTGTGGACAGCACTTGTAAAATTGAAATCTATGTCATAATTGTAGACAGATCCTCCAGTCAGAAACTGAGAAATTAACCACCGTCTGCCTTGAGTGGGACAGGAAGCTTGAATTGGACATTCCGGATGACGGTCAGAGCACTTGTGTTTGTTGATGTCTTAGCTTTGTTTGAATTGGACGTTCCAGATGACGGTCAGAGCACTTGTATTTGTTGATGTCTTAGCTTTATTTCTTTTAATGTGATTGTATTTATCTGAAACATAAAAATCCAACTTTGTAGTATCATTATTTCTCAAAATAGTAAGAATTTTTTTATTATTCAGCATATATTCCCTATCTGTGTTACAGTGGGATAAGAGATGTGTGTATCTGAGTGCCTGGTGGCTCAGTTATAACCATAGCTACTCGGGAGGTTGAGATATAAGAATCAGAGTTCAAACCCAGCCCAGGTGGACAAATCTAAAAGGCACTTACATCAAATTGACCAACAAAATAGTGGGATTAGAGGTGTGACTCAAAAGGATTCCACAAGCCATGAGCAAAAATGCCAGACAAGCATGAGACCCTGAGTTCAAGCCCCAGTACTAGCACAAAAATAAATAAAAATGTGCATGTATTTTGAGATTTTTAAAAAATGCGTGCTACCAATATTTGGTCTTATCTACACAAAAATGTTTTCTGGGGGCTGGGAAGGTGGCTCAGTGGTAGAATGCTTGCCTTGCATGCATGAGACCCTGGGTTCAATTCCTCAGGACCACATAAGCAGAAAAAGCTGGAAGTGGCTCTGTGGCTCAAGTGGTAGAGTGCTAGCCTTGAGCTGAGGGACAGTGCCCAACCCCAGAGTTCAGGCCCCACAACCTACCAAAAAAAAAAAAAAAATGTTTTCTAAATCAAAATTAATCTTAATATGAAAAGGATTTTCTTAAAAGATTCTTATTACATGGCAAAGCTATTTAGAAAAAACTTTATGTGCTGACAGTATGAAATCCTTAGGTACTTAAATGTGCAATGAATTATTTGAGGTTGAATTCTTATTACATGAGAGAAGTGGAATGCTGTCTATTACGTACATTGCTAATTATTAGTAGGAACTGAAGCAAATAGCTAATGCTCAATATTCATATGACAAAGTTTGTGGCAGACTTTTTTTTGTCTTGTTTTGTAAGAGTTTGATTCTATAAGCCCTAGGATATTGAATTTTTTTTCTTTTTTTCCTAGTTCTGGGGCTTGAACGCAGGGCCTGGGTGCTCTCCCTAAGCTTCTTTTGCTCAAGGCTAGTGCTCTACCACTTGAGCCATAGCAACACTTCTGGCTTTTTCTGAGTGATTTATTGGCAATAAGAGTTTCATGGACTTTCCTTCCTGGGCTAGCTTCAAACCACAATCCTCAGATCTCAGCCTCGGTTATAGACATGAGCCACCAGCACCTTCTAGATATTAGATTTTAATAATTCATTAAATAGTCTTGTCATTTAGTTGTCTTGCTGTAAAGGTCTAGTCTTGTCTTTTAAACTTAATTTCTTATCTCTTTTAGCTAAAGATCTTATTCGAACAGCAGTAGGTCAAACAAGACTCCTTATGAAGGAAAGATTCAAACAGTTTGAAGGACTGGTGAATGACTGTGAATATAAGCGAGGTGAAAAAGAGACTACTTGTACAGACCTGGATGGATTTTGGGATATGGTTACTTTTCAGGTATGTGATCAAGTATTTTGGATATAATCATTTTTTTAATGGAATATTAATAGCAAAATGAGGTACTAGAAGCTTAGGCATCTATAAAATAAAGGAGCTATTGGGCACACTTTTATAAGCTACACTATCTAAGTTTTATAACTTCTGGGTCTTCTCTTCCCTCATAATGTTAGGAAATAATTGTTAGTGGCAGTAACAATTTTGCATGGGAAAAATGAGCCATTCTAGTAGTTCAGTGAGCAGTTACTGAATTCCTGTTGTGTGCTAGGCATTGTATGAGTAGATGATAAAAAGGTACATTGCCCATCCCAGGGAGTTTATGGTTTGATATGCAACAATGTGGCACAGCATACAATTCTAATTTAATGAAGAAAGTCCTATGACAGAGGAAATTGGGTGAGAATGCTTTCTAGCTTTCTGGGCTTGTTTTAGAAATAAGTATATAAAATATCACTTAAAGAGCCAATTTGAAAAAGAAAGTTATATCATTATTTTTTGGTGGTGCTTAGGCTCAAACCAAAAATAAAACAATTATTAAATCTAGGCAAAAGTTCTGAGGAAACAAATGTAATCAACATTGCCCTATGGCCCAGATGTGAGTAGTGTTTATAGAATCATTTACCAATTGGGTGACTCACTGTCAGTGAGTAGACTCACTACATTTTTCAATGGTGACCCATTTTGTTGTTTTTTTAATATCATTAATTTATGGTTTTAGAGGTAATATATTTACATTGTTTACAGAATAACAATGTGTTTACATTATTAGTTTATATGTTTATTTATTTATTGGAGGGGTAGTCCTAGTGCTGGAACTCAGGGACTGGGCACTGTCCCTGAGCTTTTGTGCTCAAGGCTTTACCATTTAAATCACAGCTGCACTTCCCAGCTTTTTTTGGGCGGGGGAGGGTGGGGAGGGTCCAGTTGTGGGTCCTGAACTCTGGCCTGGGCACTGTCTAGGTAGGCAAGCACTCTACCACTGAGCCACCTTCCCAGCCCCTTCCCAGCTTTTTGGTAGCTAATTGGATATAAGAGTTTCAGGGGCTGGGAAGGTGGCTCAGTGGTATGTACCGTGCTAGCCTTGCATGCATGAGGCCCTGGGTTCGATTCCTCAGCACCACATAAGCAGAAAAAGCCAAAAGTGGCACTGTGGTTCAAGTGGTAGAGCACTAGCCTTGAGCTGAATAGCTGAGGGACAGTGCCCAGGCCCCACGACCGATTTAAAAAAAAAAAAAAAAAAATTTCATAGCCAGCGCCATCAGCTCACCCATGTAATCCTAGCTACTCAGGAGATAAAGATCTGAGGATCATGGTTCGAAGCCAGCCCAAATCAGGAAAATCCCTGAGACTCCTATCTCTAGTTAACTATCAAACAGCTGGATGTGGAACTATGACTCAACTGGTAGAGGCTAAACTTGAGCAAAGAAGCTCAGGAACAGTGCTCAGGCCTTGAGTTCAAGACATACAACTGACAAAAAAAAAAAAATGTTTCACAGACTTTGCTGCCAGGCTGGCTTTGAACTGGGATCTTAAATCTCAGCCTCCTGGATAGCTAGGATTATAGGCATGAGCCACTGGTTATAAATATAAGCTAGTAATAAATATAAGTCAGTGACATATTTTCTTTTGATGCTTTTGGAGACTTCTCATTTTTAAACAAAAACATGACATTGAGATATTATTTATATGTCATGAAATTTAGTAAGTTTATAGAGCTATGCAAATAACATCACAGTTCAGATTTAGAACATTTTGTGAAAGCTCCCTCTTGCTGTTTGCAGTCAACATCATTCCTAATCCAGCCTTAGGCATTCACCATCTACATATTGTTTATAGAGATGTATCTCTTTGACATTTTTTTATAAATTCTATAAATTACACAATATGTGACATCTTAACATGATTCTTCCGATTTTGGCCATGTTGTAGCTTGTAACTTTTTATTATTGAATAATACTGTCTGTGTTTTTGCATCTTAGGAATCAAACAATTAAGATTGAAATTTTTTTTCCTTTTTTTTAAAAATTATGAAAATACCGTACAGAGAGGTTACAATTACATGGTAAAAATATTTTTTAATTTTAATTTTTTTATTATTATCATAAAGACATTCAGAGTTGTTACAGTTATAAGTCAGGTAAGGAGTACATTTCTTTTTGGATAATGTCACCCCTTCATTCACTGTCTCCCAGTTTTTCCCTCACGTCTCCACCCACAAGTTATACAGTTCATTTTCAACACAGTGTCCACTGAATACCATTGCTGGCTGTCTCTCCTTTTCTGGCCTCTGCCTTGCCCTTCCAAAGACAGATAAACAAGACAAAAAGAAAACAAAAGCAACAGCAAAGAAAAAGTTGCTTCTATTTGAAAATAATTTTTAAAACATTGTTTCCAATGTCTGAGACAAGTAGAAAAGTTCAGTTAGATGATGTTAAGGGAAATGAACCCCAAGATAAGGACACAAGTGGTTTTTTTCTTTCTTGCTATTGTTCCTAACATTTTTCTTTCTTTTTTTTTTTTGTCGGTCGTGGGGCTTGAACTCTGGGTCTGGGCGCTGTCCCTGCACTCTTCAGCTCAAGGAGAGCGCTCTACTGCTTGAGCCACAGCGCCACTTCCGGTTTTCTAGTGGTTTATTGGAGATAAGAATCTCATGGACTTTAGTTGCCTGGGCTGGCTTTGAACTGTGATCCTCAGATCTCAGCCTCCTGAGTAGCTAGGATTACAGGTGTGAGCCACCAGTGCCTGGCTGTTTCTAACATATTTATAAGGCACCATGTGATTTTTTTTTTTTTTTTGATGTTTTGTATGTCCCTCCTCTATGGGAAAACCCCATCACTATATTTGATGTTAGTATAATTTGAGGAAGAGAAGGGAAAAAAACAAATTGTTTAAATAGGGATATAGGTTGACCCATTGCAAATATGAGATGCTATGTCAAAAGATAAACTTTATAATTTAGGCGTGGCGGGGTAAGGGGGGATAAGGGGGGAAGGGAGTGGCATGGTGCGGCGATGAGGGAGTATGGTTGTGAAAATGAGAGAGAAGGGATTGTAGGGGAAAAACAAAGGAGGGGGCAACAATGCTTGATAAGAAATGTACTCATTACCTTGCTCATGTAATTGTAACCCCTCTGTACAGTATTTTCACAATAAAAAACTGTTTCCAGCCAGGTGCCAGTGGTTCATGCCTATAATCCTAGCTACTAAGGAGGCTGAGGTCTGAGGATCCTGGTTTGAAGCCAGTTCAGGCAGGAAAGTCTGAGAAACTCTTATTTCCAATTTACCACCCCCCCACCCCCCCAAAAAGCTACAAATGGAATGGTAGAGCACTAGCTTTGAACATAAAAGCTCAAGGACAGTGCTCAAGCCCTGAATTCAAACTCTTAAGACCAACACCAAAAAAAGTTTTCATTCTGAGCATGTACAGAAATTTTTGTCATAGTTTTCTGAACAATTTAGTCCAGGAGGTATTTATGGAGATCAAGGTTGTAAATGCATTATTTGAATCTTCTATATTTATTTATTTTGTTTGTGTGGCAGTACTTGGGTTTTGAACTAAGGGCCTAGTGTTTCCTAGGCTGGTTGTGATAATGCTGAGACACAACCTTTACCTCTGTTTTTCTTGTGTTATTTTTTGGATAGGACCTTGCTTTTTGCCCAGGCATCTGAGCTATGATCTTACTACTTCTAGACTTTCATATTGCTGGGAGTGAAGGGTATATTCTACCAGTCAGCTTCTGTCTTTGAAGATAAGAGTCCAATAGATTTTTCTACCTCAGCTGGCCTGGAACCACAGTCCTCTTAATTTAGCCTCTTACGCACTTGAGGAGTTAGGCACTTGTCACTAGCTATTGATCAAGAAGGGATTTTTCAATTTTTTTTTTTTTTTTTGCTGGTCTGACCACAAGCTGTCTTCTTCCCATTTTCAGCTTCCCACATGGCTATGATTATAGACATGAGCCATGGAGTTCTGGCTGTTTTGGGATTTTATTGTTAGAGACAGGCTAGTTGGGAACTCATGATCTTCTTCTGCTTCCCCTTTGCCTGTGCTTAGATTATAGGTTTGGACCACTATAGCCACCTTATTATTAAATCTTTTATAATAAGGTTGTGTCCAAAAAAAAAAAAAAAAGAGAGAGTGCTAGGAATGTGGCTTAGTGATAGAGTGTTTGCCTAGCATGCATGAAGCCCTGAGTTCCATTCCTCAGTACCACATAAACAGAATAAAACAGAAGTGGCGCTGTGGCTCAAGTGGTAGAGTGCTAGCTTTGAACAAAAGAAGCTCAGGAACAGTGTCCAGGCCTTAAGTTCACGCCCCAGGACTGGCAGAGAGAGAGAGAGGAAATATTTGTTGAAGAAATATAAAAAATGCTACCCAAAATATATGAAAAATCACCAGTAAGAAAATTAGCAACTTGGACTGGGAAGGTGGCTTAGTGGTAGAGAGCGCTTGCCTTGCATGCCTGAGGCCTTGGGTTCAATTCCCCAGCACCACATAAGCAAAAAGAAAAAAAAAAGCCGGAAGTGGCGCTGTGGCTCAAGTGGTAGAGCGCTAGCCTTGAGCTGAAGAGCTGAGGGACAGCGCCCATGCCCAGAGTTCAGGCCCCATGACCGGACCCAAAAAAAAAAAAAGAAAAGAAAATTAGCAACTGGATTGGGTTGTAGCTTGGGCATAGAGCACTTGCCTAGCATGTAAGAGGGTCTATGTTTGATCCCTAATACCCTCAAAAAAAAATCTAAAAGACCTGAACCAAGATGCCTCTTCAAAGAACATAAACAGATGGTAGGTAGGCATATGAAGAGATTCTCAGCATCTGACATTAGGGAATTAAATGCAGTCAGTTACACCTGCACACCTTATGGATTGACACCACCACTGCTAGTGAGGAAGCAACAGGATGTGAAGCAACAGGAACTCTCAGTCATTGCTGATGACAGTGCAAGATGGCATGTTGAACTGCAAGACAGTTGGGTGGTTTCTCGCAAAAATAAATGTACTGTTACCATATGGACAGCAATTGCAGTCCTTGGCACTTACCCAAATGAGCTAAAAACTTATGTTCTTACAGAAATCTATGTGTGGTGTTTATAGAAGCATTACTCATCATTGCCAAAACTGGGAAGCAACCAAGATGTCTCTTGATAGAGAAATGGATAAATAAGTTTTTCAAAATTGTAGCTGGGCATCAGTGGCTCATGCCTGAGAGTCTGAGAGCCAGCCCAGGCAGGGAAGTCCATGAGACTGGTGCAGTTAACCACCAAAAACACAAAACAAAACAAAAAAACCAGAAGTAGAGCTTAGGCTCAAGTTGTCCAATGCCAGCCTTGAATGGTAAAGCTCAGGGACAGCACCCAGGCCCTGAGTTCAAGCCGCAGTATTGGCACATATGCACATTATGTTTGTATTGTGTAATTTAAGAAATAAACAGCCAGGAGCCAGTGGCTCATGCCTGTAATCCTCATTACTCAGGAGGCTGAGATCTGAGGATCACCGTTCAAAGCCAGCCTGGGCAGGAAAGTCCGTGAGACTCTTATCTCCAATAAACCACTAGAAAACCGGAAGTGGTGCTGTGGCTCATGCGGTACAGCGCTCGCCTTGAGCTGAAGAGCGCAGGGACAGCACCCATGCCCAGAGTTCAAGCCGCATGATCAACCAAAAAAAGAAAGAAACATAATTAAGATATCTTCTTTACCATTTTAGTGATTTAAAATAATGTAGAAGAAGTAGAGGAGTTATTCATACATAATATCCTTTATGCAGATTTTGGAAGTTGATAAGACCAAAAATGATAGTTAATAATTTTACCATAAAAATTCTTGAAGAAAACAAATCATTTAAATAGGGATACAGGTGGACCCATTGCAACAATGATACATACAAGTCGTTATGTCGAAAATGAACTTTACAACTTTGGAGGAGGGGAGGAAGGAGGGCTGGGTGGGGGGTGGGGGGAGGATGGGATGGGAAGGGGAAACAAAGGAGGAGTCTACAATGCTTGATAAGAAATGTACTCATTATCTTGCCCATGTAATTGTAACCTCTGTACAGTATTTTCACAATAAAAATTAAAAAAATAAAAATTCTTCAAGTCCAGATACAATGGCTTACACCTGTAATCCTAGCTACTTAGAATGCTGAGATCAAGAGGATTATGGTTCAACACCTGAGCAAAACTGACCCCATCATAACCAATTAAAAGGTGGACATTTTGTACACCTGTATCTCATCTATACAAGAAGTTTAAACAGGAGTATTTCGGTCCAGGCCAGCTATAACATAAAGCAAGACCTATTCAAAAACTACTGAAAGCAAAAAGGGCTGGAGGTGTGGCTTTAGAGGTAGCACAATACTGAGCCATTTTGATACCTTGAGTTTAAACTCGAGAACCATCACTCCCCCAAAAAAATCTTGTTGTGGACATTAAATTTGGGCTTTTATTAACAGGTAGAAGATGTTAACCAAAAATTCAACAATTTGACCAAACTTGAAGAATCTGGATGGCAAAACAATAATAACAATACCAGCAGAACAGTCATTCGAGTAAGTTTGTAGTTTTAAATCTGAATTTCTGATATATGTTCTTCTCAAATTTTAAGCTTTAAAATCATTTACCTTCAGATATCTCATAAAAAATAAATTTCATATGTTATTTCATATGTTATGTACTTATCTTTGAAGAAAGAACAAGGAAATGATCAACGTGAAATTTAGGATATTTCTAGAGAAAAACAAGTACAAGGATTGTGATTGAATTGGGGTACCCAGAAGTTTTTAAGTTACCAGATCATGAGTGTTCGCTTGTATTTTGTTTTTTTGTTGGATTGTTTGTTTGTCAGTTGTGCGGCTTGAACTCTGGGCCTGGGCACTGTCCCTCAGCACTTCAGCTCAAGGCTAGCACTCTACCACTTGAGCCACAGTGCCACTTCCAGCTTTTTCTGTTTATGTGGTGTTAAGGAATCTAACCCAGGGCCTCATGTGTGCAAGGCAAGCACTCTACCACTGAGCCACCTTCCCAGCCCCGCTTGTTTGTTTTTATTTGAATTTGGGGTGAATACTGGATAGGAAAACATACTACCACTTGACCAATACTCCCAGTCCTGTTTTATTCTTTGAACTGTACATTCTTTAAACTGTACCAGTAGATAATGTACATAATTCTTTACATGTGCTAAATATTCCAAGTACTCTGTTTAATTTATTCTATCCTTATAATAATCCTATGAGATTATCCTTATTATATGATTGAAAAATCTGAAGCCCATAAGTGTTGAATCACTTGCCCAAGGTAGAGCTGGGTTTCAGCTTAAATTTTCTCATTTCAGAGTCTGTTTTCCTAACTAGCAGCCATATTCTTTTGTTTGTTTGTTTGTTGGCAGCACTGGATTCAGTTCAGGAACTTATGCTTACCAGTCAAAAACACTCTACTACTGTGCTGTACTTCCAGCCCAGCCTCATTGTTCTGTATGCTTTTTTGTATGAACGATGTTTAAAAAAAAAAGAAGGAACAATGGCTCTGTAGAACATATTTTTCCTTCCCTGTACTTAATCTTATAAAATTTTCTGTTACTTGTTCCTGTAAATTTTGCTGCTTTAATTTAATAAAATCCCACTGTTTTTGTTTTTGTTTTTTTGCCAGTTCTGGTGCTTGAACTCAGGGCCTGGGCACTGTCCCTGAGCTGCTCTTGCTCAAAGTTAGCACTCTACCTACCATGTTAGCCACAGCGCCACTTCTGGCTTTTTCTGATTATGTGGTACTGAGGAATAGAACTTACGGCTTTTTCTTGCATGCTAGGCAAGCACTCTACCACTAAGCCACATTCCCAACCCTACTGGAAGGGTACCAGTGGCTCACGCCTGTAATCCTAGCTACTCAGGAGGCTGAGATCTGAAGATCGTGGTTCAAAGCCAGCCTGGGTAGGAAAGTCTGTAAGACTCTTATCTCAAATAAATCACCAGAAAACCGGAAGTGGTGCTGTGGCTCAAGTGGTAGGGCACTAGCCTTGAGATGAAGAGCGCAAGGACAGCATCCAGGCCCAGGGACAGCATCCAGGCCCAGTTCAAACCCCATGACTAACAACAACAACAACAAAAAAATGAAAGTGTACCTGTAGTTATAAGCTCCTGTGGTCTAGGTTGATAAAACTTGTCTGACTCATATTTTAGGAGTTTAAGGTGTTAACGTTTCAGAAAAACCTTTAAAAATTATTTTACTAATGAGGTCTCATAACAAGGATCCTAAGGGCAGTTACTAAATGATTGAAGGAATTATAAATCTAGATAATGAATAGATGCTACTTATTAAAGCTACTCTGGATATTTCTTTGCAGAGAGATTTTTTTTTTTTTAGATAGGATTCTCCTTCGTTGCCCAAGCTAATCTCAAATTTGTAATCCATCCTCTCACTTTAGTTTCCAGAGTTGTGAGATTACAGGCATGTAACTACTGTGCCAACCCACTACTGTGGATCTTTCTTTCTTTTTTTCTTTCCTTTTTTTCTTTCTTCCTTTCTTTCTTTTTTTCTCTCTTTCTTTTTTCTTTTTCTTTCTTTCTCTCTCTCTTTCTAACTCTCTTTCTCTCTTTTTCTCTCTCTTCCTCTCTTCCTCTCTTTCTCTCTTTCTTTCTTTTTCCGATTGTGGGGATTGAATTCTGGGCCTGGGCGCCGTCCCTCAGCTCTTCAGTTCAAGGCTAGCACTCCACCACTTGAGCCACAGCACCACTTCCGATTTTCTGGTAGTTCATTGGAGATAAGAGTCTCACAGACTTTCCTGCCCGGGCTGGCTTTGAACCACTATCCTCAGATCTCTCAGCCTCCTGAGAGCTAGGATAACAGATGTGAGCCACCAGCACCCAGCTTATAGATATTTATTATTGAGCACTTAGACCTGGAAATAGTAATACAGTACCATCAGTGATGCAGCTACTAGTTATATATCAATCTTGTAATTCTGCCTGTTATCACTAGAGGTCTCTCTCCATCTACTATAGTATTTTCTTCTCAGCTTAGTCTAAAGTCATGTTTGCAAGTTTGTTTTTCCATTAATTACCGTTTCGATATTCCTCAGTTCTGTTCTCTCAACATATTCTTTCTGTGAAGTCTGTTCCCCCCTTATACCCCTTCTCTCTCTCTCTCTCTCTCTCTCTCTCTTTCTCTCCCCCCTCTCCCTCTCTCCTCTCCTCCTCTTTCCCCTTCTTTCCCCCTCTTTCCCCTTCTCTCCCTCTCCCTTTCTCCCTCCTAGGGATGGAACCCAGGGTCTCATACATGCTAGGCAGCTTCTTTACCACTGCAACCTAAAATAGTTTGGGTGATTTTTGTTGGCAGGAGTGGTGGTGGTCCCGGGAATTGAATCCAGGGCATCCTAGGCAAACAGTTTGCCACTTAAGCCACATCCCTCAGCCAAAGAATGTTTATTTGTTAGTTGAGTAAATTTTCTCATCTTGGTTTTCATGTATCTACTTTGTCACGATTTCTGTATAGTGTTATTTATTCTGTAATAAAGGTTGGCTCTTTTTCCAGATCATAGCAGTGGTTTAATATAGATTGTCCTCTTGATTCCATGTATAGGTTTTAATTCTGTTTATTTATATTTCTCAAATTATGTACTTGGATATAGCTAGGCAAGCACTCTATCTCTAAACAACATTCCCACCCCTTCCTGTGCAATTGTATACCCCTCATTGATGAATCTCTGATCTACATTGCCAGCCACACTTTTCAGTTATGCCTCATGACACAGTATACTTTAAAGGTCACTTTATCCAAAAAATAATTTCCACACGTATTAATGTGTCCTTATCTCTGTAAAGACTCCCATTCTATAAAGACTCCCATTCAGAGGCTCAGGAACTTTGGGTATCTCTTCTGACCCTTTCCTTTTGCTAGTTTACCTTCTCCATTCCATGGGGTTGGCTGGATCAGAAAATCCTCTCAGGGCTCAGGTGAGGCTCTGTGATAGAGTTCTTACCTTGCATGCATGAGGCCCTGGGTTTGATTCCTTAGCACCACATAAGCAGAAAAAGCCATAAGTGGCGCCATGGCTCAAGTGGTAGAGCACTAGCCTTGAGCTGAAGAGCTGAGGGACAATGCCCAGGCCCAGAGTTCAGGCCCCACAACCAATTAAAAAACAACAATAACAACAAAAAATCCTCTCAGTTCTTCTTTTTTTTTTTATTTTTCCATTTGTCATGGGACATGAACTCAGGGTTAGGGCCGGGGCACTATCCCTGTATTCTTTGCTTAAGGCTAGCAACCTTATTTAAGCCACAGCTCTACTTTTGGCTTTTTGATGTTTAATTGAAGATAAAGAGTTTCACAAACTTTTCTACTCAGGCTCGCTTTAAACCTCAATTCTTAGATCTCCTGAGTAGCTAGTATTATAGGCATGAGCCACCACTGCCTGGCAAGTTGCTTCATTTTTTTATTTCCAAGCAGACCTGAACATCCAAAGCCCCATTGGTATTGCCTCTTGCAGAAGCAGATGTGTGATACACTGGCATCTGACTCTCAGCTCTTGGTCATGGGGCTTGAAATCTGGGCCTGGGCACTGCCCCTAAGCTCTTCAGCTCAAGGCTGGCGCCCCACCACTTGAGCCACAGTGCTATTTCCGGTTTTCTGGTGGTTTATCAGAGATAAGAGTCTCATGGACTTTACTGCCCAGGCTGATTTTGAACCATGATCTTCAGTTCTCAGCCTCCTAAGTTACTAGGATTACAGGTGTGAGCCACTGGTGCCCACCTCAGTTATACTTCTTAAAGCTTGTGAATCTAGGTTGGGCGCCAGTGGCTCACACCTGTAATCCTCACTACTCAGGAGGCTGAGATCTGAGGATCGCAGCTCAAAGCCAGCCTGGGCAGGAAAGTCCGTGAGACTCTTATCTCCAGTAAACCACTAGAAAACCAGAAGTGGCACTGTGGCTCAAGTGGTACAGCGCTCGCCTTGAGCTGAAGAGAGCAGGGACAGCACCTAGGCCCAGAGTTCAAGCCCCACAACTGACCAAAAAAAAAAGCGGGGCTGGGGGTTTAGCCCAGCAGAAGGGTGCCCGCCCGGCACGCGCAAGGCCCTGGGTTCAGTCTTCAGCCCTGGAAACAAAAAAAAAAAAAAACTTTGTGAATCTCCTCTCTTTGTTCCATCTCCTCCTCCTGGGCCTAACTGCCATCTTCTTTTCTATTATCATTCAGTAAGTCTCCCACCCAGTTCATTCTCCAGGTTATATCCAGAACCATCTTCCTAAAACCCAAGCTTGATCATGTTATTCTCCAGCTTAAAAACCAGTAACTGTTTGGTGTATAAATGTAGTCTAAAACAATCAGATGTTAGAGCTTTAAGTTGTTCATGTCATGTCCGTTCTACCAGCTTTCATTGCTGGTTCAGCAAACATGCTGTTCTATCCAGCCTTTGTCACCCCAGTCTTTTAGTCCAGCTACTTGATTTACAACAAGATGCTGCTTACTTGTAAGTCTTCCCTTGTATCTGAAGGTTGGTTTAGGTATTCTTCTTCTTTTTTATTTATTATTATAGAGGTGCTATACAGAGGACATTCATCAGGTAATCAGTACGTTTTATTTTTGGCTAAACTGGGGTTTAAAACTCTAGGTATGCACTCAACTACTTGAGCCAGGTCCCCAGCTTTTTTGCTAAAGGTTGTATTTCAATAAGTTCTTGCAATTTTGCCCAGGATAACCTTGCACCACAATTCTCCTCCTGTAGCTGGGACCAGATTTACATGTTACTTTGCCTAGCTTATTGATTGGGTTGAGGACTTGCTAACTTTTTACAAGGGCTGGCCTTGAACCATGATTTTTGCCTCCTGAATAACCGAGATCATAGTTGTAAGCCAGCATGCCTGGCCACATTTATCCTCCTTTTTGCCCTTAGTTAGCTATTCCACTAAACTATAAACTCCTTGAAGGAAGAAACTTAATCCTTGATGTTTTCACCCCTAGAATTTTTAGAACATACTAAGAATTTGGTGTGTATATAATGTGATATATTTTATGTATAATTTGGTTTTCTATCTGTGTCTGTGTCTGTCTGTCTGTCTCCTGGGGCCTGGGCAGTGTCCCTGAGCTTTTTCTTTTCTTTTCTTTTTTTTGAGGGGGGGTCCTGTCGTGGGGCCTGAACTCTGGGCCTGGGCGCTGTCCCTCAGCTCTTCAGCTCATGGCTAGCGCTCTACCACTTGAACCACACTGCCACTTGCAGCTTTTTTCTTTTTGCTTATGTGGTGCTGAGGAATCGAACCCAGGGCCTCAGCCATGCAAGGCAAGCACTTTACCACTGAGCCACCTTCCCAGCCCCATCCCTGAGCTTTTTCACTAGAGGCTAGCTCTTTATCACTTTGAGCTACAGCTCCACTTCCAGCTATTTTTGTATAGTGGAGTTAAGAGTCTCATAGCTATTCCTGCTGGCTTTGAACCAAGATCCTCAGATCTCAGCTTCTTGAGTAGCTAGGATTACAGGTGTGAGCCATTGATGTCCAGCTTGGCTTTCTCTTTTAAAAGTTTAATTAGTTTAGCTGGGCTCCAGTGACTCATGCCTGTAATTTTAACTACTCAGGAGTCTGAGCTCTAATGATCCCACTTTGAAGCCAGCTTGTGCAGGAGAATTCTGAGAAACTCTTATTTCCAATTAACTCCAAAAAAAAACAAAAAACAAAAGTGAAGCTGTGGCTTAAGTAGTAGATCACTAACCTTGAGCTGAAGAGCACAGGGACAGTGACCAGGCCCTGAGTTCAAGTCCCAGTACTAGCAAAACAAAAAAAACAGTTGAACTTTTGCCAAGTATAGTGACACACACACACACACACACACACACACACACACACACACACACACACACACACACACACACACACACACACACACACACACACACACACACACACACACACACACACACACACACACACACACACACACACACACACACACACACACACACACACACACACACACACACACACACACACCCCGAAATCTCAGCACTCCAGAGGAGGATCTTGAATTTGAGGCCAATGTGGATTGCAAAACCAGCTTCTGTTTCAAAAATAAATAAACAATAGCTAAATATTGTACATGTGTGTGCGTGTGTGTATCTTAAGTAATAGCAGCTTAATATCCTAATTTCTCTTTGCAGAAGAAAATTGTCTCAGGGATAGCAAGCAAACCAAAACAGGATGATGGTGGAAGGGCTGCAGCTAGAAATCGCCTTGCTGCCATAAAAAATGCCATGCGAGAGAGAATTAAGCAGGGAGAACATGCTGACACAGTGGCTTCTGTAACACCAAAGGAAGTGGATAAAATCGTGTTTGATGCTGGATTTTTTAGAGTTGAGAGTCCTGTGAAATCATTCTCAGGTTGGTTATTTTTATTTTTGTTTTCTCAGACTGCTTAAGAGAAATACTTGGGGTACTTGAGGGCGTGTATAAAAAACAGCCAAGTATGGGTGCTCACACACTCATAACTACTTAGAAGGCATAAGGAGACTACAGTTCCAAATCAACCTATGCAAAATTTCTCAAGGCCCTTTCTCAACCAGCAATCTATGACTGTTTTCCTAGCTACATAGGATATCAGGAGGATCAAGATTCCAGGCCTGACCAGGCAAAGACCCCATATCAACAGAAAGAGCTAGATGTGGGCTGGGAATTTGGCTTAATGGTAGAGTGCTTGCCTAGCATGCATGAAGCCCTGGTTTTTATTCCTCAGTTCCACATAAACAGAAAAGGCGAGAAGTGGCACTGTGGTTCAAGTGGTAGAGTGCTAACCTTGAGCAAAAGATACTCAGAAACAGTGCCCAGGCCCTGAGTTCAAGCCTCAGGACTGGCAAAAAAAAGAAAAAGCACTAGATGTATGGAAGCATTCATAGTCTAGGCATACACCTGTAATCCCAGCTGCTACAGGAAGTATAAACAGGATTGTGGTCCAGGCCAGCCCAGGCAAAAAGCAAAACCCTATCTCAAAAAAATATCAGAGCTAGAAGGGCTGGAGGTATGATCAAGCAATAGAGCATTTGCCAGTCAAACACAAAGCCCTGAGTTAAAAACCCTAAGACATGGGGAGATGGAGATTGAGATATCGCAGTTGGAGGCCAATCCAGTCATAAAGTTAATAAAACTGGATCTTAACCAATAGCTAGCTTCATAGCATGTGCATATTATCCCAACTGAGTGTCAAGGCATAGACCTATCATTCCTAATGACATGGGGAAGTATGAGTAGAATTTTGGCCCAAGTATGAGTAGAATTTTGGCCCATGTGCCCCAGCATAAAGCAAGACCCTACCTAAAAAATAACCAAAGTAAGAAGTATAGATTTCATATAGACAGATATAAGCATTCTGATTTCTAGAAAATGGGCCATGTGCTAACTCCCACCCATATGCACATCATATTTTGAATAGATATGATCAGGTTGCTATTACTATCTTCTATGATTGCTTTTGTGTTTTCTAAGTAATTTCACAACTGTTAGTACCTTGTAATCCCACAATCTCTGAAGTTAGGTCACAGACTTCTAAGAGGTGAAGATAGTGATGAAAATAAGACAAGTTTTGTTGTTTTGAGTTTTGGGGGTTTTTTTTGGTTTTTTTTTTTTTGTCGTCATGGGGCCTGGGCTTTGTCCCTGAGCTCTTCAGCTCAAGGCAAGCACTCTATCACTTGAGCCACAGCGCCATTTTCAGCTTTTTCTGCTTATGTGGTACTGAGGAATCGAACCCAGGGCCTCATGTATGCAAGGCAAGCACTCTACCACTGAGCCACCTTCCCAGCCCAACTTAATATCTCATTCTTTTTTTTTTTTTTTGGTTGCTTATGGGGCTTGAACTTGGCCTGGCCTCTGTCCCTCAGCTCTTCAGCTCAAGGTGATTGCTCTACCACTTGAGCCACAGCGCCACTTCTGGTTTTTTTTTGTTTTTTGAAACAAGATCTTGCTATTTTTTTTTTATGGCTGTGTAATACTTCATAGTATGTATACATATACATCACATTTTTTTTATCCATTTAACTCATTTGGCAAATAATTCCATTGTTTGGCTATTCTGAATAGTGCTGCAATAAACATAGATTTACAGATATGTCTTTCTGGTATATTGATTTACTGTACTTGGAGTATATGCTCAGTAGTGGTATGGCAGAATCATAGGGAGGGAACTTTTTTTGTTGTTGTTGGTCATGGGGATTAAACTCAGTGCCTAGGTGCTATCCCTGAGCTTTTTCTCTAAATGCTAGCCTCTGCCATTTTGAGCCACAGCGCTACTTCCAGTTTTCTGGCTGTCATTGGAGATAAGAGTCTCACAGCCCTGGATAGTTTCGAACCATGATCCTCAGATCTCACTCTCCTCAGAGGCTAGGATTACAGGTATGAACCACCAGTGCCCTATAGAATATGAGGGTTCCTTTCACCCCACATTCTCAGCAGCATTTGTTTGTTTTCTTTATGGCTGATGGTCTGATTGGGCTGAGGTGGAATCTTAGTGTGGTTTTGATTGCATTTCCTTTTTTTTTTTTTTTTGCCAGTTGTGAAGGCTGAACTCTGGGCCTGGGTGCTGTCCCTCAGCTCTTCAGCTCAAGGCTAGTGCCCTACCACTTGAGCCACGGCACCACTTCTGGCTTTTTTCTGCTTATGTGGTGCTTAGGAATCGAACCCAGGGCCTTATGCATGCAAGGCAAGCACTCTACCACTGAGCCAACTTCCCAGTCCCTGAATTTCCTTTTTAACTAAAGATGTTGAACATTTTCTCATGTATCTATCAGCCATTAGTATTTGTTCTTATGAGAACTGTGTGTTTAATTTGGATTGTTTTTCTATTGTTGTTTAAATTTTTTAGTTTTCTATATCCTTTGAATACCTGGTAAAGATTTTCTCCTAGTCCATGAGTAGGCCCTTGGTTCTGGTGACTGTTTTGCTGTGCAGAAACTTAATTTGATATAGTCGCATTTGTCAATTCTTGCTCCCATTCTCTAGGAATCTGGAGCCCTAATTTACCTATACCTTCCAGAGCTTTCCTACGTTTTCCTATAGCAGATTTAAAGTTTCAGGTCTTGAGGGCAAGGAATGTGGCTTAGTGGTAGAGTGCTTGCCTAACATGCATGAGGCCCTGGGATCAATTCCTTAGTACCACATAAACACAAAAAATAAAGTTTCAAGTCTTACGTTGAGCTCTTTAATCTAACTAGATTGTGTGTGTTGGGGGGGGGGGGTGTTGTGGGACTTGAACTCAGAGCCTGGGCGCTGCCCCTGATCTCTTTTTGCCAAAGGTTAGTGCTCTACCACTTGAGCCACAGTGCCACTTCCTGTTTTTGAGTGATTAACTGGAGATAAAGTCTCATAGGAACTTTTCTGCCCACATTGGCTTCAAACCACAATCCTCAGATCTCAGCCTCCTGAGTAGCTAGGGTTACAGGTGTAAGCCACTGGTGCCCGGCTTAGAGTTGATTTTTTTTTAATTAATTTACTGTATTGTTATTGTAGAGGTTATGTACAGAGGGATTACAATTACATGAGTCGGGTAATGAGTACATTTCCTTTCATACAATATCTTCTGTTCCCTCACTGTCCCTTTCATCTCCACCCATGAGTTGTATAGTTTACTTCCATCAGTGTCTAGTGAGTAGAGTTGAATTTTGTGTATGGTAAGAGATAGAGGTCCAGTTTCAGTCTTCTGAAGGTAGTTTTCCAGCACCATTTATTGAAGGGGGTGTCTTGGCTCTAGTGTGTGTTTTTCAGATCTCAGCATCCTGAGTAGCTGGGATTACAAGCATGAGCCATTGGTGCCTAGCTGTGTAGTATATTTGAAGTTTGGTATTGTAATACCTCCAGTGATACTCTTACTACTTAGAGTTACATTTGCTATTTGGGATCTTTTATGCCTCCATGCGATTTTTTTTTTTTTTTGATTTCTTTAACTGAGAAATGATACTGAGGTAGTGGGTATTCTGTTGAATCTATATATTATTTTTGTCAATATGGTCATTTTTCTCAACACTAATTCATGAGCATAGGAGGTCTTTCTGTGTTTTCAGTTTCTTTCTTCAAGATTTTATAGTTTTCATTGTAGAGATCATTTATTTCCTTGGTTAATACCTTGTTTGATGTTTCATTGTTTCAGGGGTTGTTATGAGTAGAATTGTTTTCCTGGTTTCTTTAAACTATTGGTATTTTAATATTGAGTTTTGTATCTGGCTTCCTGGCTGTACTGTGGCTTCCTGCAGATTAATATTTTTTTCTATCCTCTGCCACCCTCTCTGACCTCCCTTGACATGTCTGTGTAGGAAGCAGGAAATGTTTTTTTTTTCTCCTCCATTTCTTTCTACTTTAACTCTGTTATACTAAGATAACCTTTCTAAAACTTCTAAATAAAAATGAGTTATAATTTTTGCTATTGATGTGATTTCTCTCATTTTCTAGTACTGTCCTCTGAATGCTCTCAAAGACTTGGCACACCTAAGTCTGTCAGCAAAGCTGTACCTAAGAACAGGACTGAAATGGACCTTCTAGGTCAAAAGCCATCACCAGAGAATCCCGATCCCCAGAGTGAACATGTTGGCAAGAAGACATTGTTTTCAAACATTCCTGAAAGCAGGTATTTCTTTAACATGTTAAGAATTTAAATATCATTTCAAACTGCTAAGATAGGGAAATGTGCCAGAGTTTTCATTTTTAATTAAATTTCACAATTTAGCATATAGGCAAGACTTCCTCTTAATAAGGAAACTGAGGCTTAAGATTCCATGTGGAGGGCTGGGAATGTGGCTTAGCGGTAGAGTGCTTGCCTAGCATGCATGAAGCCCTGGGTTCAATTCCTTAGTACCACATAAACAGAAAAGGCCAGAAGTGGCGCTGTGGCTCAAGTGGTAGAGTGGTATCCTTGAGCAAAAACTCAAGGACAGTGTCCAGGCCCTGAATTCAAGCCCCAGGATTGACAAAAAAAAAAAAAAAAGATTCCAGGTGGAGCAAGGTATATAGTGGTATATGCCACTTGTCCCTTTCTGTCTAGATTAGGTTAGTTCTTAGACCTATTCTCTAAACTTAATTTACTCCCTCTATAAAGAACACAAGTCAAAAGAACAATATATTAATTATCACACTATAATGTGCTTCTTTTTTCTTTTTCTTTTTTTTTTTTTTAATTTTCAGAGACACCATAGAAGATGCTCAGTGTTCTGAATCAGAGGATGTAATTGAAGTAAACCATGGCCAGGTGGTAAATCACTCAGTATGTTGCTATGTATATCACTATAAGTAGTAACTCTTATTTAAAACAAAACAAAAACAGTCACTGGGAATGTGGCTTAGCGGTAGAGTGCTTGCCTAGCATGCCTGAAGGTCTGAGTTCAATTCCTCAGAAGGAAAAAAAAAGCCAGAAGTGGTACTATGGCTCAAGTGGTAGAGCCTTGAACACAGAGAGGCTGAAGGACAGTGTCTTGGCCCTGAGTTCAAGCTCCAGGACTGGCAAACACACACATGCACACACGCAAGCACGCACACACACCCTAGAATCTCCATTGGAAATTAAATCAGTAATACAGAATAATTCTTGTTTCAGTGGCCTGTGGATTGTTTTCAGTAGGTCTTTTTGTAGTTCCATATTACACCAACATGAATGTGGAACTAATGACCTAGGTCAAAATCAGCAAGCTTTGCCCACTGGTTTTTATAAGCCAAGTTTTGTTGTAACTGTCGCTCTCAGCTGTTTATTTTATGTAGATGCTTTTGCAATGCTGGAGTGGATTTGAACAATTGTGACAGACCTGGTGGCTCACTAAATCTGAAATATTCACTAGCTCTTTCTTCTCAGAAAGTATTTGCCCATCCCCAAACTGGTGTATAGATATTTGCTAAGAAACTTGCCTTCATCCTTATTGTTTATAAGGTATTACTTGAATTCATTGTCAGGAAGCAAGGAGTAGGATTTATAGTGTTCTTTGGCTATGGCATGTAACACTCTAGTTTTTTCACACTTAATAGAAGATTTGTGTGTGTGTGTCTGTGTTTATTTTGATTTTTGGTCATTAGTATAATGTCCATTTTTACTTTCAGGATACAAATGAGGTAAATTTTGAAATGTATTGTGTACCCAGTGAAAGAATGAGTTTGCCTCTTCCCTCTGGAGTAGCCAATGATACTAGTACTAACAAAGAAATTTCAGATGTTGTAGAAGAAATGGAACTCAATTCTTCAGTTGCCTCACAGGATGTTTTCATGAGTAGCCCTGAAAAAAATGTATCATTACAAAATACCATCTTGAAAGAAGCTGAAACTTCTCAGTCAGGTATGATTGTTTAAAATACAATGAGGCTTTGTTAAAAATGAGCTTGGATAAAGATACATATTATCATGAATCTCATTATCATAAATCTCAGTTTCTAAGGATGAAGGTTCAGAAACAGGACATTCACAGTAAATGTTTCATAAAAACTAGTTTTAAGAGTTCTACTCTTGGGTTGGAGATTTAGCTTAGTGGAAGCGCACTTGGCCTGCTAAGTACAAGGTCCTGAGCTCTAGGAGAAAAAAAAGGTGTTCTATTCTTGACCCCAAGCCTTAAAGTAGATGTAATAAAAAATCAGCAACAGGCTGGGTATGTGGTTTAGTGGTTGAGTGCTTGCCTAGCATGCATAAAGCCCTGCGTTTGATTCCTCAGTACCACATACACAGAAAAAGCCAAAATGGCACGGTAGCTCAAGTGGTAGCATGCTAGCTAGCCTTGAGCAAAAGAAGCTCAAGAACAGCGTCCAGGCCCTGAGTTCAAGCCCCAGGACTGGCAAAAAAAAAAAACCACTGATCCATCCTGGCTATAAGGAGCATTTTATATTAGACCTGTTTGAGAGCCTTCAGTGTTAGTGAACTAAGCTCAGTAAAATTCCCTCAACTTTTCAAGACATAATTGACCTATTTTTTTTCCCCTTCCTAATGCCTATTTCCACCTACTGTTTTTGTAATTATAAGAGGAAGTGGGTCTTACTGTCAAGATACAATGTGTGCAGGTTTCACCTGTTTTTCTCCATATATCTGTGGTGTTGGTCTATCTGGGACTCCAGGTAAAATGTTATAGCCATGACCAGAGGTTTCTTCTGGCCAGACCTGTTCTTCATCAGCATCTTTCAGGTATCTTCAGTGTTAAACTGAATGGTATTCATTTAGACTCTATAAGAATAAAAAATTTAATTGCATTTTTAAATATATAGGGTTTTTCTTATCTTTCAAGACATTGTCTATTTTTAACAACTCTTGACTGAGAATATTCTTTAATTTTTTTTTCAGTGCTTTGTGATAATAAAAGTCTCACTACTGAATGCCACTTTCTTGATTCAGTAAGTTTTTCAACTTAATTTGATAAATTCCTTTATATTCTAGATTTTGAGTTTGTTTCTGAGACAGGTCTCACTATGTAGCCTAGGCTGTCTTCCAACTGTGCAATATGCGGTTTGAGTTATTCTAGGTATTGATCCAAGACAAGGCTTTGTCTTTCAGAAATGTTGGGTGGTACAACAAATATGAGGAATACTGCCTACAGTCTTCCTGGGTTTTTTCACCCTAATTCTTTTACATTACTGTATATATGCTCTGCTATTTTATTTGGATGCTCCCAGACTTTACTTTTGGTGACCTCTGGCTTCAGCATTAGCATTCTTTAAATATCTTCCTGTTAAAGCTCTTTCCGTTCCTATGCTAACTCACTTGTAGATCTGCGTGCATAAGCATACGATGCATGCATTCATCTCATTAAAAGTTAATATGAGCTGGGCACTTTTATAATCCTAGCTACTCAGGAGGCTGAGATCTAAGGATCATGGTTCAAAGCCAGCCCAGGCAGGGAAGTCCATGAGACTCTTATCTCCAGTTAACCACCAGAAAATCAGAAGTGGTGCTGTAGCTCAAGTGGTAGAGTGCTAGCCTTGAGCTGAAGAGCTCAGGGACAGCGCCCAGGACTAGAGTTCAAGCCCCACCAACAAAAAAACAAAACAAAAGAAAAAAAAACATTACTGTGACCTGCATGCACACCTTTCTTTCTTGGTGGTGGGTCTTTCTTAATCATAAACTGAAACCTCGAAGATTGAGCACTTAGCACAGGGACAATTCATATAAACCTGATTGAACCTTATTCTCAGATCTGAACTCTGAACTATTAGTTCCAATAATACATAAGTAAATCTGAAAATTATTAAATAATAACATTCTGGGCTTGATGTAAGTATGATCAAAAGTGTCTCACAGTTATAGATTATCTGTTTTTTTTAACATAGTATTTTTTTATTTTTGGGGGGGGGGTCCGGTCATGGGCCTGAACTCTGGGCCTGGGCACTGTCCCTCAGCTCTTCAGCTCAAGGCTAGTACTCTACCACTTGAGCCACAGCGCCACTTCCGGCTTTTTTCTTTTTGCTTATGTGGTGCTGAGGAATCTAACCCAGGGCCTCGAGCATGCAAGGCAAGTGCTCTACCACTGAGCCACCTTCCCAGCAGATTATCTGTTTTTTTTATTTCCATAAACATTTGAATTTAGATATATAAGTTCACTTGCTTATATGGTTTGGGAATTATGGTATTTTCATAGAATGCTTAAGGCCTGAGTTTTATTCATCTTGAATATGTTAAGTGCATTTATATATTAATCATCTTTCTAGACATGAATTTCTTATATACTTTTCCAATTAAAAATTATTTGAAATTATATCTGCTTAAATATAGCATCATTCTTAGTAGTAGTTTTATTCTATAGGGAAAGTTGTTTATGTTATTTATATTAGTCTGAAATTAACTGCCAATGTTGGTGATTGAATTGAAGGAATTTCTTTAAAAAAAAAAAAGTTATTTTCAGTAACAAGGCTTAAACATAGGGCCTTGAGTTCTTGCTGGGCTTCCTAGCTCATGGCTGGCTATTCCACTTGAGCCACGCCTCCAAGCCCATTGGGGAAACTTAATGATTTCTGTGTTTGTTCTTTAGCCAGGCCTGAACTGTGGTAACCTGGGCACTCAGGTGGAGAACAGACGTCAAGAACATGCCAGACACATTTCTTTTGGTGGTAACCTCATTGCCTTTTCTCCGCTGAGGACACTTAGTGGAGAATAACCAGGAAAATCAGCCCAATATTTTCCTTCATGATAATTGATGCAGTGACACATTCTTAGACTATGTATTAGTTCATCTTATTCAGTCCACTTGTATAATGTCATAGTGTTCTAATATTCAGTGTTCATCAAAGTGTGTTTTAGATATGATACTATTTCTCAAGGGAAGTAGGGATATTTTTTATTGTAACCATATAAAATAAAAAGGCGTACTTTGACTTGACTCATTTGTTTGAAATGTATAGATTTAGCCGGGTACAGTTGGCTCATGCCTACTTAGGAGGCTGAGTTCTGTGGGTAGTGGTTTGAAACCAGTCAGGCAGAAAAAATCCAAGAGAGTCTTACCTAATTCACTGGGTAAAAGTCCAACTTGAAGTGTGCCTCAAATGGTAGAGTGCCTGCTATAAGCAAAAATGCTGAGGAAAATGCAAGACAACTAAATGTACTGATGTAAAGCCAAGTTACTTAAAGCTTATAAATATTCTTTGTTATTTTAAATATTAAACTTTAAAATATTTGCATTTTTTTATACTTGGTCCTTCATTTGATCTCCTGAATTTAACATTAAACATCTTTAGGGATTGCATTTTTCCAGGCAGTTTGATTCTACCCCCCCTCCTCAGGGTACCGGGATTTAAACTTGGCCTCAAGTTTGCTTTGCTGAGCAGGTGCTCTACCTATTAATAAGATTCACTATTAAATGAGAATGCTCTCATCTGTTTAGATATTCATGGTCCTGAGCTTTTAGAAAGTATGTATGTGGCCAGCCACCATTGCCTCTCACCTGTAATCCTAATTGTTGCTGTTCACACAGTGAGGACTGAGAACACTATTCCTGGGCAGAGAGTGGACTACACCTTTGCGGGGTATAGACAAAGTTTAATAGGGGAAACTACCTACTAATATACGGCATACACACAAAGAAAGTTAATCTTAGTGGGCATGTGACAGTTTCACAAGACCAAAAGTTTACAAGAGATATATGGGCCGATAGATAGATAGATAGATAGATAGATAGATAGATAGATAGATAGATAGATAGATAGATAGATAGATAGATAGATAGATAGATAGATGGATGGATGGATGGATGGATGGATGGATGGATGGATGAGGTCAAAAGGTGACAAAAGATAAACAAGGCACAAATGTTTTACCCATAGAAGTATCTCGGGGTTGTTTATGTGTTTATGGTGCCAGGAGGAGGGGGCATGAAGAGAAAGCGCATCCCGGCCCCTTCCCTGAGGTCGTGGCCACAGCATCCAAACTTTCAGAGTTTTCTCTTTCCCCCTGAGGCTGGACACTCCAACTGTTGCTAGAACTTAGGGAAGAGTTTTCTTTCCCCCTTCTGGCACACATAACCTCGTACAGCACATGAGTCTTAAGGAAGGATCACAACAGTCTGTTTCTCTGACACCTAAACTACTCAGGAGGCTGAGATATGAAGATTGTGGTTCAAAGCCAGCTATGGCAGGAAAGTGTGTGAGACTCATCTCCAATGAACTTCCAAAAAGTCAGAAGTGGATGTGTGACTCAAGTGGTAGAGCACTACCCTTGAACAGAAAAGTTCAGAGACAGCACCCAAGTCTTGAATTCAAGCCCCAGGACTGGCACCAAAAAAAAGTTATATATAGATATATAAATGGATTCATACTGGTCTAACAATAATGACATTTTGTTTCATACATTAACTGAATAATTTCAATCAGTAATTTACAATGGACCTCTCAAGGTCCAATAATCTAGTTGGTTCTAATACTCCTAGTGTTGGCATCTCTAAGGCTTTGAGGGACATAAACGAGCAATCAGAGTTGTCCTTTCCTTAGGCATGGTTAATACAACTAATATATCCTAATCTGTATGTCAATGCGTCAGCAGGTCCTGGCCTGCGCTCCTTCTCTGTTAAGTGTGGGGTCATACCTGAATAAAACCAGGCCTGGTAGGAAATGGAACAGACACTGACTGGACAGACAAACATAAATGTCCCCTGAACTCAGAGAACATGCTTGGGCTTTTGGGCTCTCGAATTGTGAGATGTTAGGAAACCCTTTACAGAAAAGAAAACTGCTTGAGTAGAACAATAAAAGCCTGTCGAATATAGAAAGGAAATTTTTATTGACAACCAACTGTTTGGCCCACTTACAGTTTTGTGTCATGTTATAGTAGAGATGTTTTGTGTAGATCAAGAGGCGAAAGGTTCAGAATTATAGAGAACTTGGAAGTGGTGCTGTGGCTCAAGTGGTAGATCGCTCACCTTGAGCTGAAGAGCTCAGGGACAGAGCCCAAGCCCAGAGTTCAAGCCCCATGACTGACAAAAACAAAAACAGAATTATAGAGAACTTTCTATAAACCAAGGTCCCCTCCCTCCAAAGTTATGCCCTCCTATTTAATATCAAGTGGACTGTCAAGATCAGAAAATTGGGATAAAGCATTTTACATTATTAATGTGATGTGTTAAGTAAATAGCCCTCAGCCTGCCATCTCATGAGATGAGAGCCATTGTATTCAAGTCATGCTTTTGCCCAGGTGTCTTGGAAGTGATGGGTCCAAGTGAGCCTAGCTAACACAGAAAAAAAATGTAAAAAATATAATCATACATGGCACAAGGACATTTCAGTCAACCATGAACTGCATATATGATGGTAGGCCACTAAGATTATAGTGGAGCTGGGCACTGGTGTCTCATACCTGTAATCCTAGCTACTCAGGAGGCTGTTCAAAACCAGCTTGTGTAAGAAAATCTGTGAGAATCTTATCTGCAGTTAGCCACTAGAAAACAAAGTGGTGGTGTGGCTCAAAGTGATAGAGCCCTAGCCTTTAGCAAAGCGCTCAGGGACAGTACCCAAGTCCAGAGTTCAAGTCCTATGGCCAACAAAAAAAAAATTATGATGGAGAATTCCTGTCACCTATGACAGGTTTCTCTGTGGCATGATGTGTTTATTACATGTTTGTGGTGATCCAGGTATAAACAAACCTGAATTGCAGTTGTATAAAAGTATAGTACACAGAAGAATGTGTGCTACAGGATACTTGATAATAGCTGTATATATATTTACAGTATATGTATTTGTACTTACAACTTTTTTTTTTTTTGTCAGTCTTGTGGAGCTTGAACTCAAGGGTTGGGCACTGTCCCTGAAATTTTTCAGCTCAAGACTAGTACTGTACCACTTTGAGCCACAGCTCCACTTCTGGTTTTTTGGTGATTAGTTGCAGATAAGATTCTCACAGATTTTCTTGCACAGGCTGGCTTTGAACTGTGATTCTCAGATCTTGGCCTCCTGAGTAGCTAGTTTAGAGGTGTGAGCCACTAACACCAGGCCTTACTACTTTCAATTATTTTAGAGTATGTCCCTTTTTTTTAAGGATACTCTAAAACAATTTGCAGAGTTGTTGCTGGCAACAGCTTCACGTTTCATAGTTACTGCATCGAGAGACTATCAGGAATTGGCCCATACCATCCATGACGTTCCCATCATCAAGTCACCTAACATGTTTCAGGCTGTTGCTAAGCAACATGTGACTATAGACAAGAATGCAAGCAGTAATTGTGGGGAAACTCTGCTCTTCTCATTTCCTCAATATATGTCCTCAAGGAAGAAGATCAGCATAGTCATGTAGCATCACCTTATTTTGAAGAAACTCTATAAGGAGGAAAATTTGGAGGTAACAGTCTTTTCACGTAGTCTGACAAGTATGGAAAACTTTGTGAAGCCCTAATGTATGTCATTGCATTGTTCTTTTTCCATTGTAAATTATTCAGATTAAACCGCTCCAACTAAATGACGTAAAGACAGGCCATGTAGCATAGAATATTTATTAAATGGATGGCTTACAAGAGGGTACTGATGAATAAGTGAAAAGTTTTTCACTTACAGTGAATGTGAGGCCTTTAAATGTATAGGATTTGGATTTAAAGATATGCCCTTTGTGGATTATATCATTGCGTATGAAGCACTGGTGAGGTTAATGTCACCAGAAATGCTCAGTTTGCTGATTTCCTTGAGATTTCTCATCCGATGATTGTATTGCAACAAGTGAGCATCGTTGACAGCAACCTTGAAGTGGTCAGGTTCAACCAGGACTTGTATCTGAAAGGAGACAACAGTGGTTGTGCATGATAACTGCTCCATTTACCCACTCTGGAGTATGAAGATTTCAAAACTTTATATGCAACAGATTATATGCATATATATGTATATGCATAATACGTGCACACAGTGTATGTGTATATAATTTTTATTTGGCAATTTAAAGACAGAAATTCCCATTAATTTCAAACTAGCCTGAGCTCAATCTCCAGCATGATATCCTCCTCATTTGTGGAACTGAGTAAAATACAAAGCAAGTAAATTTATATCAAATACTAACTCTACGTTATATTTAACAACAACAAAAATATTAGGCATGTAAGTGAAGCCATAAAAGGAAAGGCTGATAAGTTACCTACCTAGAATCTAAATCTTTAAAAGCCTTTGTATAGCCTAAAATACACAAAGTAGGAATCCTTTAACAGGATGGCAAGTGAAGATTAATAATAACCAGTTGGGGCCAGCCCTGGTTGCTTGCTGTCATCCTAGCAATATGTGATTCCCAGTAGACCAGCAAAAAACCAGACTGGAGGCATGGTTCAAGTAGTAAAAGTGCCAGCTGAGCAAGAATTTGAGTCCCTGAGTGCAAGCCCAAGTGCCAGTGCAAAATTAAAAACATCAAAATCTGAATGCAATGGCACAAGCCTATAATCCCAGCTACTCAGGAAGGCAAAGAAAAGAATGGGCAGTTCAAGCCTGGGCAAACAAAGTAGACACCTTATCTCAAAAACCAAAATCAAAAGGTATAGCTTTAATGATAGAGCACTTACTGTTTAACCCCCAGAACCTGAAAACACTTTCAGTTTTAAAAGAAAACAGCAAAAGCTTTTGATTTCCATGCCAACTGTGTGTGTGTGTGTGTGTGTGTGTGTGTGTGTGTGTGTGTGTGGCTTTTGATTTCCGTGTGTGTGTGTGTGTGTGTGTGTGTGGTGTGTGTGTGTGTGTGTGGTGTGTGTGTGTGTGTGTGTGGTGTGTGTGTGTGTGTGTGTGTGTGTCTCCTAGAGCTTGAACTAGAGCCCTGGGTGCTGTCCCTGGGTTTTTTTGTTCAAGGCTCACTTGAGCCACAGCTCCACTTCTGGCTAAGCCAGCTAAGTCATGGCACCAGCTAACTATATTGCTTTTAAGGAACTAAGTCTCAGTCCCAATGGACCATAACAACTTTTCTGCATTGTCTTTTGTTTTGGAAAAAAAATATGCTATATTTTAATTTTTTTTTCTAGAAAAGCTTAGACTCAGGCATGTGGGAACAGCAATGGTGGAGAGGTACCTAGAGGAATTAGGGAATGTGCTCTTCCTGGCCATGTTCTCAGCATGCCAAGCCTGGTGTTTTGAAATGAAGAGGTAACAGACTCTCTGTGCCCCAAGACAAGTAATAAAAGTACAGTTCCAGTGTTGTGGTTTTAGAGGATTCTCCATGACAAGCAAACATCATCACAGGTAATGGGAGCTGTAACTTACCTTGAATGGTTTGCCACTTTGAAAGGGGAAAGCTGCTTGTCTTTCTTCCCTTCCCCAGGAGTTGTCCGCCTTTGTGTTGCACACAATAACTCTGCTGTTGTTTTCCTTGAAGCGTGGATTAAAGTGGAAGGCAACATCATTGCCTCTCTTGAAATCTAGAGCAAATCTGTTTCAAAATAAACACCAGATTTATTTAAAACATGTTTCTAGAAAGCAAGGCTTTTCATATGTAGGAAATTTCTGCAAACAGGAAGAAAAAGAACAGGTTCAAACTGGAAAATAACCTAAGCCCCAACAGAATCATCTAAAGCTCAGCAGTGTTATTTTGTTTTTCTTCCGCTTTGTCTTTGGTTCAGTCATTCCCTGGCCCTCTTTAGTCTCCACTCAAAACAACCCTCAAAGCTTTCCTTGCAGAGGAGTAGAGCCATTGGCAAATTTTGTATCTTACCATAAATAATAATGATTCTCCTGGCAGGCTGCCTTGAAAACCCTGACTTCCTCAAGGTTAATCAGAGATACCTAATTCCTCTGAAACAGAGAATAAGATACTGTAGGTAATGTTTACTATCCTGTTGTTAAATTGTAAAGTCATGACAGTAAATGTATTAAACATTTCATGATGTAAGGTGGGACCAGTGACAGTATTTGTTTAATTTTTTTTTACCTTCTCCCTTTTTTACCTTTTCCTTCTCCTTAAATGTTAATGCAAACACAAGTCCTCTGTGTTAAAGCACTAACACTTACCCTGAGTTTCTCAAGGCATGGCCCATACAGTACTAAGCCAGAATGAGCTCAGTCCCCCTCTGCTGCTGACTAACCCTCTGGTCCAAGTCTAGCTAAAGAGTAAGCTCTTCTCTAAATGGTCTCAGAGAAGCAGTGATTTTTTTCTGTATTTTTAATAACTCAGAAGCCATCATATTCAATAACAAATGCATCTTCCAATAATAAAATTAACAGAGAAAATGGCAATAAATTTGTTTTTGGGTTTTGGGGGTTTTTTTTTGTAGGTCATAGGGCTTGAACTTTGGGCTTGGGCACTCTCCCTGTGCTCTTCAGCTCAAGGCGAGTGCTCTAACACTTGAGCCATAGCACCATTCCTGGTTTTCTAGTAGTTTATTGGAGATAAGAGTCTCACGAATTTTCCTGTCTGGGCTGGCTTAGAACCTTGATCCTCAGATCTCAGCCTCCTGTGTAGCTAGAATTACAGGCGTGAGCCACAAGCGCCCGGCAATAAATTTGGTTTTGACAAATATACCCAGTGGTTCTATTCCCTCTGTATTTATCTCTGCTAGCTAATGTAATTTTTTTCCATGAAGTTCTTTATACAGAATTTTCAACATTTTTTTCAGTTAACCATCATTAACCCTTTCTTTTTTTAATTTTTTTAAATTTGTACTATTTGATTTTTTTTTATTTTTTTATATTTTGCGGGGGGGGGGGGGCAGGGGGGTCCGGTCATGGGGCCTGAACTCTGGGCCTGGGCGCTGTCCCTCAGCTCTTCAGCTCAAGGCTAGCGCTCTACCACTTGAGCCACAGCGCCACTTCCGGCTTTTTTTTCTTTTTGCTTATGTGGTGCTGAGGAATCGAACCCAGGGCCTCATTCGTGCAAGGCAATGGCTCTACCACTGAGCCACCTACCCAGCCCCTTCACTAACCCTTTCAACCAGAATTAGTTTTGATCCACCAGGCCCCAGTCTGTATCTTCAGTATTAGTGAAACTAAATTATCCAATACAATATCCCTAACTGAAGTAAGGAACTATGGATGGATAGAGATATAGGCTGAAGATATATATAGATATAGATATAAAGAATATATGTATGTTAGCAGGTATATTACATATAACCATATGTACATATGTACTACTGTCAAGTTTCTTTTTTTTCTTTAAATCCTATTAACATTTTAAATAGATCACTTTTAATTCAAAACCAATTAACAGACTGGCTAGTCTGTTTACATCACCCTCTTTACCTGTTTGCGTCGGGCTTCACTGTGCCCAGAATAGTTACAAGCATGCGAGGCGTGACTCCTCCAGGCAAGGGCAGATCATAAGGAACAGTCTTGAAAGAACAAGTACATACATGTCACTAGAGTCATGTTTGGAAGAAAGAAAAAAAAATGTCCGAGTATAATCCCTATTAATGTCTATGAACAGATAGGTCTAGTTAGGGGCCCTTGTACACATGATCTATTCTACCTAAAATCAAGGAGAAAAATATCTGTTGGGTCATTTCAATCCAAATACCTCATTGGCATGGACTGTTTTTAGGAAAGGAATAAGCTAGACCTTGTGATCCGTTCCCTTGTCACATGACATCCTGCACTATGGTTATTCTGCTCCCTGAGGGCAGATTCAACTTGCTTTCAGTAATACCAAAACTCTTCCTGTTCCCTTTATGTTTGTCCCTGTGTTCAACTGTCATCTAACTCTTTCACTTCTATCATGTACTTTCTCCTACCTGGAGTTTCTACCCCTTCCTCCAGTCCAGCAGAAATGACCTGGAAAGGCCTTTCCTGCCATCCATCTACACTGCCCCCCACCCCCCCACACACACACCTCCCATCACATCCTTTTCTTGAGTTCCCAGATTGGGCTAAAGCTCTGCTGATACTCTATCCAGGCTTGAGAAGCCAGAGACATCCCTGATTCCTAAAACTTGGTCTCTGCATCTTGGGGCTTCTTCCTCTGCAGTCTCTCATATCTACCAGTTTTTCTCCATAGTCTTCATGACCCTTTCTGTCTGCCACTGACTAACGTTCTGGTCCATGCCCAGCCAGCTCAATGCCACTTTCTAAACATAAAGATCTCTTCCAAACTGTCCCAAAACCTTGTGCTGTCTTCTTCATAGTCTTGTACTGCTGCTCTGTTCTTTCCTCACATTTCTATCTTCTCTTCCAACTATATAGGGAAGGATCTATGACTGAGATGGATGTGTACCCCCTCAGAGTTATGTTTTCATTTAGAAATTACTTACTTAAATGTGTTTTAGTTTGAGTAATCCTGGCCAACTTGACCAGCACTGAGGCTTGAACTCAGGGCTTGGGCTCTTGCTCGGCTTATTCCATCATGACTGGCACTCTACCACTTGAACCATGCCTCTAGTTCTGGCTTTTTTGATGGCTAACTGCAGATAAGAGTCTTAAGGCTTTGTCTGCCTGTGTGGCTTTCAGTCCCAATCCTCAGATCTCAGCCTGCTGAGTAAACTAGGACTACAGGCTTAAACCATCAGCGCCTAACTGTGCTGGCTATTTTTTGAGATCATAGGTGTCTTGCTTCCTGCTCTGACACCTACCTGGCCTTCAATCAGCCTTTTTTTTTTTTTTTTTTGGTCCGTCATGGAGCCTGCACTCTGGGCCTGAGCACTGTCCCTCAGCTCTTCAGCTCAAGGCTAGCGCCCTACCACTTGAGCCAAAGTGCCACTTCCAGCTTTTTCTGCTTGTGTGGTACTGAGGAATCGAACCCAGGGCCTCATGCATGCAAGGCAAGCACTCTACCACTGAGCCACCTTCCCAGCCCCAGCAGCCTATTTTTTTTTTAATTTGCTCTGTTGTGGGGCTTGAACTCAGGGCCTGGGTACTGTCCCCAAGCTTCTTTGTGTTCATGGCTAGTGCTCTACCACTTGAGCCACAGCGCCACTTCCAGTTTTTTCTGTGTATGTGATACTGAGGAATGGAACCCAGAGCTGCATGCATGCATGCAAGCACTCTCCCACTAAGCCACATTCCTAGCCCACCAGCCTATTTTAGGTTTTCTTCATAGCTAAGATGACAGGCATGTGTCTCCATACTCATCTCGCCATTGACAAGGAACCTTAAGAACTGCCCCCCTCCCGGCCCCCCCTCTGCCCCGGCCCTGACTGGCCCAAAATGGAGATATTCCCAATCTCAACCTCCCAAGTAGCTAGAATTATAGGCATGCGCCACTGACATCCAGCCCATTACTACAATCTTAACTTGAGTAAACAGCTTTATCGATATGACTTATCACCTTCTTTATATTAACAGTAGAACAATTAACTCTGTCTAAACACTTCTTTTTCCTACTGGACTAATACACATATGGCCAATCCTTGACATATGGCACCCTTCACATATCAAATTTGAGAAATAACTCCTTCCTCTTACCAGTGGTCCAGCAGGGGTACCATAGGGGGCAGCACCTGGAGCACTTGGGTAGGCCCCGGGAGCACTTGGTTGTCCTGGGTAAGCCCCAGGTGCAGGTGGTCCAGGATAAGCTCCAGGTGCGGTCGGTCCAGGATAAGCTCCAGGTGCAGTCGGTCCAGGATAAGCTCCAGGTGCAGCTGGGCTAGGATAAGCTCCTGGAGGTGCCTGTCCAGGGTAGGCCCCTGGGGGTGCCTGCCCGGGGTAGGCCCCAGGATAAGAAGCTCCTGGGTAGCCCCCTGCCCCAGACCCAGGCTGGTTCCCCCATGCACCAGGCCAGCCTTGAGGGTTTGGGTTTCCAGACCCAGACAAGGCATCATTGAGCTGGAAAGAAAGAGATATCCCATTACAAGATAGCACTCATGAAAAGGAATTTTTAAGAAAACAGGCATATAGTACAGAGCTATAAGGAAGGTATAAAATTCACATCAATGACCTTTTTTCCCTTTTTATTAATAGTTTGGGGTGCCAAAGTCTGAAATTAGACTTAGATTCTATAGGCTTTTGCTCTTCATTCTGGTGTACCTTCTACCATCTCAGATTGGGGAAGACTGCGTGTGTGTGTGTGTGTGTGTGTGTGTGTGTGTGTGTGTGTGTGTGTGTGTGTGTGTGTGTGTGTGTGTGTGTGTGTGTGTGTGTGTGTGTGTGTGTGTGTGTGTGTGTGTGTGTGTGCGTGCTCACTCTCACTTGGCTTTTTCTACTCAAGACAGGAGTTCTACCACTTGAGCCACTCTCCCTTATGGTTTTTGGCTGGTTAACTGGAGATTAAAAGTCTCACAAGACTTTCCTGCCTGGGCTGGCTTTTAATCTTGGTCCTAAGCTCTCAGCCTCCTGAGTAGCTAGGATTACAGGCATGAACCACCAGTGCCTGACTGCATTGTCATCATTTGCTCGAATCAGGAGCTCTCTATCTGAAAGGACAGGCCTTCTCCCTGGCATAAGAAACACAGTCACAAACATCAGGATGCTCAGACTGTGCTGCACGGCCTGCTGCCTCTCGCAGGGTTAAAGATCACTAGTTTTGAGTTCCAGGCTTCTCTTTCTGGTGCTCTGCCCTTGTTTGCTGCTGGAAAAATAAGTCCAGCTAACAAGGGAAGCAGAGGAAGCAACTTAGCCCACATGATTGCCCGAAGCTAAAAACTACTTACCGAGAAACTGTCGGCCATTTTCCTAAAAGGAAAGAAAAGAGAAAGAAATGTTAACGTTTGATCCGAAAATAGTTTACCAATCTCCATGAAATTTAACAGCCTAAATAGCTCATAGGCAGTTCTGTTCCATTTCTAGGCATCATACCTAAATCAATAGTGCAGAATCACAAAAATATCTCATTGAGGGGCGAGATACTTTCCAGCTGGATTACCACACCTTATTTAACTCATAAATTCAAACTTTGATCACACTACTTTGTTTTCTGAATCCTGAAAGTAAAACATCATGAAATAGGGGCTGGGAAGGTGGCTCAGTGGTAGAGAGCTTGCCTTGCATGCATGAGGCCTTGAGTTCGATTCCTCAGCACCACATAAGCAAAAAAAAAAAAAAAATCATGAAATACCTGAAGAAGGAAACAAAAATGCTTTTCTTCCTTTTTAGGTAGAAAGTACAGGCATGATTTCTCGTGGGCCTCCCTTACTTTCCTTCCTGCTCCATTACCTCTCACAAAGGATCCACTATGGTAGCAAGGCCCACCCTCCTCTTCCCATCCACAAGCCCATACCCTTTTCTGGAATTTAGGAGGGAAGCAAAGCAGTCCTTTTGGGTTCCTACTGAGCTCTGAGAGACAGTGACCTCCCGCTGTATCTTCTGCCTACGCAGTATCTCTCCACTAGCTCATACCACAGCCTGCTCCGAGCCAGGTACTGTGCAAGGCCTGAGTATGAAGATCTCTATGGCCAAATGGCCCACAGCCCAGCTAGGGTGATGAGAGAAATGGCAATGTGATAGTCATGCTGTTGTTGTGTCATAGGGATCCAAACTCAAGAAGCTTTCTTCTGAGATAGGACGGGTGCTAATATTTGAACTAGGTCTTTGAGGAAAGGTGATGCTTTTTTTTTTTTTTTCTCATTACTTGTTCCAAACAAAATGTTTGGCAGGAAAACTTAACAGAAGAAGGTAAAATAGACGATGTGGAGTAAAGTCCTCTGGAGTAAGATATCATCAAATCAGTTTGTCTCATTCAAAGCTGCTACCCATACAAATGGAGAAGTTGGTTCCTCTTCCTTTCTGCTTCTTTCCCTGTACTTCCAACCTTCTCCTTTGGCTCCCACAGGAGCTACAGAGGGCAGCTTTGGAATGGAATGGAACCCAGGGCCTCCATCATCCAAAGCACTAAGCGCTCTACCACAGCTACATCTTCTATCTTCCACCACAGGGTAGTTTGGGACCCTTGCTCCCTGGCTGAGGGTTTTGTGTTGGTTGGTTTGGTTTGGTTTTGGTGCTGTACTAGGACTTGAACACAAGGTCTGAAGGTTGTCCCTTGGCTTTCTTGCTTAAGGCTAGTGCTCAACTATATGAGCCGAAGCTCCACTCTCAGTTTTGTTTTTGGTTTTGTTTTTTTTTGGTGTTTAATTAGGGATCAGAGTATCACAGAGTTTCCTGCCTATGATCTTTAGACCTCACCCTCCTGAGGAGATAGGATTACAAGCATGAGCCACCAGCACCTGCCTGGGTAAATTCTAAGCTGGGGATCGCCCAGACGGTGGCCCAAATTACCTGGCCCTGAAATAATGAAACACTCTCCTTACTTGATCTGCCTAGTTGTGAAATTTATTAAATCTTTTTTTTTTGTCAGTTGTGGGGCCTGAACTCTGAGCTGTCCCTGAGCTCTTCAGCTCAAGGCTAGAGCTCTACCACTTAAGCCACAGCACCACTTCTGGCCTTTTCTGCTTATGTGATGCCGAGGAATCAAACCCAGGGCCTCATGCATGCAAGGCAAGCACTCTACCACGGAACCACCTTCCCAGTCTACTAAATCATTTTTTAAGTGACATTGTCCCTAAGGATCTAATAAATGCCTCCTACCTTATAGACCCTAAAAATGTAAATTATTCAATGCTTTCTGTAACAACACAAATAAGCAGAGCTCTTCTTAGAACTTAATGTGCACTTTATTTACACAGATGTTTTCCTATGATGCTGCTGTTATTTGTATCATGGTCAGTCACCACACATCTCTTTAACCTGAGCATTCTCAGACTAGTTAGAACAGTCCGATGATGGCTGAGCCCATCTGCCACTTACAGAGCTTTCCATACCCTATACCCCTTGTTTCCTATTGCACTTGACCTTTTAAAACAAAAGGGGGAGGTCTCTTCTACGTGTGTCCCCTTCCCCACAAAGCTGTATGTCATACTGTGTTGCCACCAGAAGAGGATCCTGAGAGAACTGTTACAGAAAAGGCGCAGGGAAGCAAATTTCCTAACCTTTCTTGGGGGCAGGATCATCAAACTGAAGACCTTGTATCTTTCAGGCAAGCTATATCCCATACCCAACATTTCTTAAGAAAATAAAGCTCTCTCATTGTATTCAGGAGAAATAACCTTGAACTTCAACTTCAGTGTGGGCAGAGAACTTAGTACCTTTGATTACACACACAACTTTATAAGCATTTTTTTTTGTCAGTTATGGGGCTGGAACTCAGGGTTTGGGCCTTGCCCTGAGCTTTTGTAGTCAAGACTAGTGCTCTTACCACTTTGAGCCATAGCTCCACTTCTAGTTTTGGGGTGGTTAATTGAAGAGTCTCATGGGCTTTTCTGCCCGAGCTGGCTTCGAACCACGATCCTCAGATCTCCTGAGCAACTAGAATTACTGGAGCAAGTCACTAGCTCCTGGCTGCATTTGTATGTGTGTGTGAGAGAGAGAGAGGTGGGAGGAGGGAGGGAAGGAGGGAAGAAGGGAAGAGAGAGAGAGAAGGAGAGTGGGGAAGAGGAGGGAGGGGGGAGAAAGGATTTTGCTATGTTCTCCAGCTGGCCTCAAACTGACAAACCTGCCTCTGCCTCCTAAATGCTATGATTACTGGTGTGCACAGCCATTCCTGGCTTTATAAGCATTTTAATTTCTTTCTTGTCAACCTCAGTAGCACTGCCACTCAGGTAGTAGTCTGGGGCAGGGTGTTGTCCTGTGCATTGTAAGCTGCTCAGTACCCTTTCTGGTTTCAATTTATAAAATGGCAGACTCTCACCACCCTATAACTTGTGACAACTGAAAATATTGCCAAAGATCCCCTGGGGGGCAAAGCCATGCATGGCTGAGAGCTACCAGTCTAGTCCGGTTGGCATGTACGTTCTTGCATAATTATACATATACCAGACAATAAAAACTAACGACTAGTTTCAATCATTAAAACTAGCTAACTTTCACCTGGCATAGTGGTACACACCTGTGATGCCAAGCATTTAGAAGGCTGAAGCAGGATTGCAAGTTTTGAACTTGAGGCTAGTCTTCAGCTAGCTTTCTATTATAAAGTGACATTACTATTACACTAATAAAATCAAGATGTATTTGACAGATGATCACAACCAGAAAGCTCAACAAAATCATTTCTACATTTAATATGTATTCTTTCCAAAGCCTCAGATTAGGCCTGTTTATTTTCCAATCTGACCAAATACAGTTTGAGAAACTAAGCAAATTCCACTGCCTTCCAGTTTCACAGATGACTCAGGTGACAGTTTGGACAGTGTCATGAGACATTCCACAGCCCTGTTAGAACAATGGCACCCTGCATGTGAAATTTTTTGCTTTGCAAAGCCCTTTCACATACACCATTAGCAATAGCAATCATATGTGAGGGACAGGAAGAAAATTAACATCCCTACTGTGAGGTGAGAAAATCAGGGCTCAGAGAACCAGCACCAAGGCCCTGAATCATCCATTCATTAGCAGCCATGGGGAAGGGAAAAGCCCAAATCTCCCAATTCCTACTTCAAACTCATTCAACACTAATTTAAAACCACATTTTTGACTTTTCAAGTATATTCCTTAGAAAGTATTGTCATTTCTTTGAGAATTGATACTCTGGATTATTCACTAAGAACTACATTGAAATTGTAAACAAACTAAAAGCAAGATCATGTTTTTGTCAGAAAACCGTGTGGCTGACTCATTCAGCACACAGTAATACTGGAGGCAGGATGCTGTTTTGCACAGTCACTTTCTAATTACAACCACATTCTAACCAATAAGTTGTACTTTTCCATAATTTGGGTAGGCACTGTTTTGGTTATGTCAACTCCCATCTACCAGATGTATTTTTTTAAGAGTTAATGCCTGTATTATCCTTTGAAATCAAGGTTAATAATCTTTTTTCTTAGACCAGTCCTGGTGCTTGGACTTAGGGCCTGGGCACTGTCCCTGAGCCTGTCTGTGCTCAAGGCAAGTGCTCTACCATGAGCCACAGCACCATTTATGGCTTTTTCTGTTTATGTAGTACTGAGGAATTGAGCCCTGGGCTTCATGCATGCTCGGCGAGCACTCTACCACTAAGCCACATTCCCAGCCCAAGGTTAGTAATCTTAAAACACTGAAGAAAATATATGAATTCAGATACATTCAGATACATTTCTTCCTTGTTTCCTTGTTTCTTAACGGTTTTTGTTTTAATGAGTAGTTTACTGGTAGAAACACTGTCAATGGAAAACATCTTTCCAGTCTATAGATAGTATAGGTATATTTTTAAAAATCCATCCAGTTCTTCCAGCAAAAGCAAAAACAAAAGCAACTTCATAAAGACAAACAACAGCAACCAAAAGAGAGTAAGAGAGGGAAAGACAGAAATACTTCTTAGGTCTCCATGTTTGGAGCAGTAGTTTGAGAAGTAGCTCAGTAAAGCTTTGGAATAAGGGATTCAAACCTAAGTCAGAATGCTGATCATTTTAACTAGCTGTTCGTTTGTAGTTTTCTCCTCTTTTATTATTATCATCATCATTATTATTATTATTATTTTATTATTATTATGCTTTCTCCTTTAATAGAAAGTTGTTACCCACAACATTCTGCTGTCTTGGCACACCTAGCACTCATGGAATTGTTGGGGTTCCCACAGTCTTTCTGGAATTTGTGCTCATAAAGGTCCAGGCCATTCTATAAACCACAGGGTAGTAGACTGTGGAGGTGTTTGCTCTAGGCTCCGGGGCTTTTTCCAGACTCCTCCCCCAAGAACCAGGTGGTCTACTTCCTGCCTTTGCTCAAAACAGAGATGGCTTGAGGCAAGTCCACTTCCCAAAACCAAAGACAGTGATGCTAAATTGGAAGAAAGGAGAGAGACCAGTCTTTCTCACCAAGAAAGGCAAAGTTACGTCTTGCTTTTCAGTTACTGATTTTTTTTCCTGATTTTTTTTCCCGTTTGGAAAAGCTGAATAGCATTCAAGAGAGAACACATGACCCTTAGTCAACAATGAGCTGGAAGCCTGCAGCAAGCTCAGCCCTGGCTGGATCTTCAGTTACCCAACCAGAGTGTAAGAAGTAAAGCCAGTTCAGGCACTAGACACAAAGCACTACCCACCTATCTCAGCCAGAGCTTGTGTCCCAGATGACCACAACAAAGAAAGGCCATGTTATGAATTACAATGAGTCCTGGGTACATACATTTACCAGCCAACTGGTAGTTAAGGTCAACAGGAGAGTCTCAGGTTTATTTGGCAACTATAGGTCCCTGTGATATGAAGCTTCCAAGCATGGCCAATGAAAGTCCCAGACAAATAAGTACCTACATTATAGGTAGGACCAACATGGGCTTCTTGAGCTCACTGGCAAGAAGTGAAAGGTAAGTAAACTGGGAGAGCAAAGGAAGGGGTGACATTGTCCAAAAAGAAATGTACGCTACCTGATTTATGTACACACCTGTGTACATCACCTTCATAGCAATAAGAAAGAAGTGAAAGGTTGGGCAGGAGATGTGGCTCAAGTTACAGAGCACTGACCTATGAAGCGAAAAGTTACTGTGAAGCCCCTTATGTACACATGAGCACCAAGAACTATCATCAATCAAGGGCCTGCCAAAAGTGAGACCCACTCTACTGAGCATGTCCAGTTTGGGGGGAGGGGAATCCATCAAGCTATATTCTACCTCTTCTACTGCTTGTGTCACTGCTTATGGCACCCGGCTAACATTTCTAAGCTCTAAGTATCCAAGAACTATCGCCCAACTGTTCCCCAGAATGTGGAGTAAGTTGGTAAATAGGACCCCAGATACGAATTAAGAAAGCAGCTCCAATTTCCCAATGATTAAGGACCAACCACCCTTCCAATGGAAGCCAGTACTTGAAAAAGATTCAAAGTCAGCGTCCAAAGAGTAGATTATTGTTGCAAAAAAAAAGGCTAACTTTTATTATGCTTTAGGGTGTGTGTGGCACACATACGCTCACACTTGCTGGCTTGACCTCAGAGTCTTGCACTCTTATTTAGCTTTGTAGATCAAGGCTGATGATCTATCACGTCAGTCCAGGCCCTACTTCTGGCTTTTTGCTCCTTAATTGGAAATGAGTCTCTCAGATTGGTCTGTCTGGGCTGGTTCTGAACCTTGATCTTCGGATCTCAGTCTGCTGAGTAGCTAGGATCACAGGTATGAGCTACCAGCACAGGCTAAACTTCTAATTTTTGTGGACACACAATTTCCCAACTGGAGAGATCTCTAAACTCAAGGCAAACAAGTTAGAATTTTGGGAGTCGGTGAAAGTTGTTCCCATACTCTGCACCCAGGGGGTTCGTTACTATCACATTTTCTTCGCAATGAACTCAGCCTGATCTGCACTCCTTTCCCAGGCTTCTAGGGAACAGACTGGATCTTGCCATCCAGAGGTCCTCATTGTCCAGCAACCCAACTCCCAGGGGTCACTTTACAAATATTCCAAGGCCTTGTTGCCTCCAAGGGTCAGGTGGAAAGCTAAGCCTCAGCCTCAATCCCTGGCTCATCACCTCCGCAACACTGGATCGCTACTCCTCATATTGCAAGTCTCCTAAGTACTTTTTGACTGGAGCAACAGAATTCACCGTCAACCCTCATGTGTTTAAAGAAAACACCACCACCCCTCGCCACACACACACAAGCTAAGGCTTTACATGGGGAGACCAACTTTCCGCCAAACTTTCTGCCACCGCCCAACGTTTTCTCAGCCCACCTCTGAGATGTTATTGCCCAAGTTAGCACTCCTGGGTCGGGGATGAGTCACCCGATGGGCAGTGGCCGAGGCACTGCAGCGTCGGCAAAGCCGGGCACATGCCCCGCTGGGGCCTTGGGCGCCCCGTTTTCTGTGGGGTCAGCGTTCTGAGCGCGGGCACCGCCCTTGGGGGGAGTCCAGGGGCGTGCCCCGCAGCAGGATCTGCGCACGGAGGCTCTGCAGACGCCCCCAAACAGCAGCCCAGCCAGCTCGGGGTGGGTGGGTGGGGTCCCACGAGGCACCCCCCAGCCCCCCGGTGTGCTGGAAGGACCGACTCCCCAACGCCAGGCCAGAGGAAAGCCACTTGGTTGGTACAAGACAGCCCAGGCGATCGTGGTGGCTTCAGACTTGCTCTGAGGGCAGCCAGGCGCGCCTGGCAGAGGGGTAGGAGAGGGGGCGGTGCCCTGTGCCGGGGTCCCCTGTTTGGATGCCCCCCTCCACACCTCCCCCCCCCCCACGCTGCTAACTTCCTGGTCCGATGGGAGCCTGAGTGAGTCAAAGGCCACGGAGCAGTGCCCGAGCGATGCCCACCGGGGCTGGCAGAGCGCAGGCAGCTGCTGGCTGGCTCTACGCGGCCGTCCGGTCCCCCAAAGCCGAGCCCCGGCCCGGCCCGGCCCGGTGCGCTCGCCCCGCCGGGCCAGAGCCACCTGCTGCTGGCGCGGTCCGCGCTGCGACCCCCGCCGCCCCACCGCGCCGCTCACCGCGCCTCTGGGCTCCTCCGCGACTCCGCTGCTCCCGGGGCTGCTGGCGAAGTGGTGCGGGCCAGGGCGGCGGCTCGGCCCTCAAGTAGCCGCGCCCGCCCGGCCCCGCCCGGCCCTGCCCTCCCGGGGCGGGGCGCACCCCTGCACGCGCCTCTCCCGACGCCCGGGGCGCAAACGAGGCGCCCCCAAGTCTCCTGCGCTGGGCCTCAGTTGTCCCTACACCCGGGCTGCAGCTGCGCTCCTCCAATGCTCTCTCCGGATTTACCTGACTTCCTAGAAGGAAGAGCCCCGGAGTCGTGAAAGCAAAACAAAGCGAAAAGTAAAACTAGATCGGAAACACACGGGGACCTGACCAGTTATTCAGGGCTCTGGGCATTCACACACAGGGGACCAAAGGAGCAAAGCCTACGCGCCTCTGATCATATAAAACAATAATAATGATGAACTCCAGGAAATGGAAACAAGAGGTGTTTTTTTTCCCCTTTCTTGTTGTTTTCATTTTCTTTTCTTATTGTCTTGTTTCTCTATCTTTGGGAGGTCAAAGGGGGGGGGGGGGGACACAGAAATGGAGAGACAAAGGGTAAACAAATGCAGCGGTGGTATTCACTAGACACTATGCTGAAAATGAACTAGACAGCTTGTGGGTGAGGACAGGAAGGAAAAACAGAGTCAGGGTAACATTGGTCCAAAAAGAAATGTATTCATTACCTGACATGCCATTGTAACCCCTCTGTACATCACCTTTATAATAATAAAACATAGAATAAAATAAAACCCTAGACAAGGCACATTGTAAGTGCTCGATGCAATTTAGCTGTTGCTACCATTATCACAGGCTTAAAAAATAAATCCATCTCCACTCAGAAAGTCATCTGTCCGCTCAGGGCCTGGGTTTGCCAGGTTTACTTGTGTTCTACCTGAATTGCAGGCCTCTCTCCCACCTCCGCTTCCTTCACTGAAAACACTTTCCACAAGTGCCCAGTGGGCACTTGCCCGTGTCACTGGGGTCCCTGTCAAACTGCGGGTGGGAGGCTCCCATGTCCCTAAGTCCTTGTCTTTGCATTCACCCTTGACATCTGCTCAGATGTGCTGCATGATAGCAAGCTTGTGCTGAATGAAAGAATGAATTCTTCCTAGAAAGTCTTTTTTTCTTAAAGACGTTGTAAGGGATGCCCAGCCAATTAGGTGGCAGTTCAGTCAAGAATGCCTTTAGACAAGTGGATTGATTCAAAGTGCATTGTATGTGTATAGAAATATCACAGTGAGACTTTTCATGCCACACATGTACAGTAATTCAAAAAAAATTAAGTGTCTTTGGAAGCCAGGTTCAGGGGCTCATGTCCAAAATCACAACCATTGAGGAAGTAGAACTATTTGGCAGGCAGAGATTAGAAGGATCAAGCAGGGGGAGGCAGTTAGCGAGACTCAATTTCAAAATAAACTGGGCATGATAGTTAATAGTGTCAGCTACACAGGAAGTGTAAATAGGAAAGGACCATAGTCCAGCCCTATCGAGGCAAAAATTCAAGACTTTATCCCCAAAATAACTAAAGCAGAAAGGACTGGAGGAGTTGCTCAAGTGGTAGAGCACCTGCAAGTGTGCAGCCATGAGTTCAAACCCTGTATTACCAAAAAGAAAAATAAAAAAAGTGCTGGAAAGGAGGTTCAGTGGTAGAGCGCTTGCCTTGCATGCATGAGGCCCTGGGTTCGATTCCTCAGCACCACACAAGCAAAAAGAAAAAAGGCAGAAGAGGCGCTGTGGCTCAAGTGGTAGAGCGCTAGCCTTGAGCTGAAGAGCTGAGGGACAGCGCCCAGGCCCAGAGTTCAGGCCCCATGACCAGACCGTCCCCTCCCAAAAAAATAAAATAAAAATAAAAAAGTACCTTGGTAAAGACATGCATAGGACAATGATATGTCTGGCTGTGTGAAAGAATGTTACAATGAATATCCATGGTTACAAGAGAGCTCCTACCTATTTGGCAATATGCAGCTGCATAAAACCTGAGTGTAAGGGTTAAGGGTATCAAGTTGGATTTGTAAGACTTCAGAGAATAATAATAGCAACAGCTGATATCTACCAACCACTTATATGTCTTATACTTTGCCTAATACTTTTCACTTAAGTGTTTTTTAAACCCATTTTTGAGATGAAAAATTAAAAATGGTTGTGCTAATAACAGATCAAGTTGAAAATGTCAGTGGTCAAAAGGAATCTTTTAAAATTGGATTTTCACTATTCAACAGTCTGAAGAAATAAGAAAAAGTAAAAGGGAGGAAAGAGAAGAAGGATGGATGGAAGGAAGGAAGGAAGCAAAAGAAGGAAGGCAGGAACGAACGAACGAAGAAAGGGAGGGAAGGAAGGAGGGAAGGGAGAAAGAAAGGGCCAATAACAGGCCACCAAAGATGGATAGATTTAAAAGTTGGAAACTATCATTCAGAAATGGGAAGAATTGTTGACCCCAAAGTGAAGTTATGTCTGAATAACTGGGAGCAGAGTTGCTCTTTCACTCAACACCAAGGGGATAGTTTCCTGTGTCCCACAGGATTCTGCAAGAGCTTCTGGTCTGGGAACTGCTATGTCTAGAAGCCTTTGGATTGAGGCTTAAATAGAGAAGGATTTGAAGCCAGAGAAATGAGTCAGAACAAAGGGTTTTTCTCAAGTTGGGAGAGATGATTGGGTCTGTTTTGTGGAAAGTGTGTGTGTGTGTGTGTGTGTGTGTGTGTGTGTGTGTGTGTTGGTACTGGGACTTGATCTTGGGACCTGAACACTGTTCCTTAGCTTTTTTGTTCAAGGGTAGCACTCGATCACTCTGAGCCACAGTTCTACTTCCGGTTTTCTGGTGATTAACTGGAGATAAGAGACTCAGACTTTCTTGCCTGGATGGGCTGTGAACCTCAATCCTCAGCTCTCAACCTGTTGAATAGCTAGATTACCAGCAAGAGCAGCAGCCAGCCTTCTGATAAGCTTTGACAGAAGCTGATACACCAGAGCTGTGCTGGCTCTTGGAGGACTTTCAGGTCCAGGCCCCTTGGAGATGTCAGCCATCTCATTGGGGAAAGGTGCTGCTGGCACCTTCCTCAAGTAAGTAATGTATATTCCCCTAAGCGGACATGCAGCTAACCAAGGCTGACATCATAGTTTGTTAGTACAGGAGAGGGTCTGCTTAGGCTGCTCAGGGCAGGTGCTCCAGGGCCAGGGAGAGACCCTGCTTGCACAAGAATAGAGTGATGTGAAGAAAACCTAGAGAAAGGCCTTTGTGGAGAAAGAGGCTGGCTCAGACCTGGCTCAGGGTAATGGTGATGTAACTGAGATATGCTTAGAAGTATTCTATGTTCTGTGTTTAGAATGATAGGTAGACTCAACTCAGAAAACTAAAATGGAGCCAGATGTCAGTGGCTCAAGTCTGTAATCCTAGCTACTCAGGAGGCTGAGATCTAAGGATCCTGACTCAAGTCTAGCCCAGACAGGAAAAGTCCATGAGACTCTTATTTCCAATTAAACACCAAAAAGCTGGAAGTAGAAATGTGGCTCAAGTGGTAGAGCACCAGCCTTGAGTGAAAAGGCTAAGGGTCAGTGCCCAGGCTCTGAGTTCAAGGCTCCATACTGGCGCGCACGCGCACACACACACACACACACACACACACACACACACACACACACACACACAGACATATACTCCCATTGATCCAAGGTGATTGAATGATATAGCTAGTAACTAGTGAAAGTCTGAATTATATCTTTCCCAATGTATACAGTGTATATTAGGTGGCCCAAGTAGTCTGATAATGGTGGTTACTGGGAATGGATCCTAAATTTGAGAGGAGAAAGATGTCATGTATAAAGCCATGTTACTCCTAAAAGAAAATGGAAGAGGAAGCCAACAGTTTAATTTGCAAGTGAACTCTGACTTTCCTTCCTCTTGCCATTCTCCTTGCTCACCCCACTCCTGGCCACAAGACTCGCATGCGATTCCTCCTACACATAGGGTCCTCTTGACTCAGTACCCTTGCGCTGGCTGTTTCTGTGACCAGTTCTCTCATTTCCTTCTAGGCCTTGCTCACCTGCCACCTTCTCCAGGAGTCTTTCCACTCACAATTGCAGCTCACACCTGCGCACTTCCTCATATTGCTGATGCCCTTACCCTCCCATGTATTGACTCCAGCCTGCTTCAGAATTGAATCGCTTATTACATCGTCTTCCTCCACAGACACAATTCCTTTCACTTTTCTCCCTAAAGGAAGATTTCTTTGTCATACTAAGAGATTCCAGGGGCTGGTGGTAGGCCCATAATAAATATTTCCTAAGCAAATAAACTCACAGTGTAAGCCTTGGAGAAAAATCCTCTGGGCTATTTAATTTGATCATTTACAAGTTTTTTCTCTCTAGTAAACTATTTAACACCCCTTAAAAATAATGATACAGGTCTGGGAACGTGGCTCAGTGGTAGAGTGCTTGCCTTGCATACACTATGCCCTGGATTTGATTCCTCAGCACCACATAAGCAGAAAAAGCCGGAAGTGGCACTGTGGCTCAAGTGGTAGAGCACTAGCCTTGAGCTGAAAAGCTCAGGGACAGAGCCCAGGCCCAGAGTTCAGGCCCCACGATGGACAGAGAAAAAAAAAAAGATGCAAGCTGGGCACCAATGGCTTATGCCTATATTGCTAGCTGAGATCTGAGGATCATGGGTTAAAACCAGCCCAGGCAGGAAAGTCCATGAGATGAGACTCTTATCTCCAGTAAACTACTCAGAAAAAACTGGAAGTGATGCTGTGGCTCAAGTGGTAGAGCAGTAGTCTTGAGCACAAAAAGGCTCAGCGACAGTGCCCAGACAACTGAGTTCAAGACCCAGGACAAGCAAAAAAAAATAAAAAAGACAATAGTTTACAAGTGAAAAATTTGATTAATAGATTGTCATGCTTATAAAATCCCCAAACAGAAATCTTTTCAATGTTAATTACCTAGGGAACTCATCAAACATTGATTCCTTCTTTTTTAGGCCAATAGACCTGGTCTCAAAACAATTATCAGACAACTCTTAGATCCATTTTTCACAGGAAATTCAAATTATAGATATTATATTATAGTATGT